TTCTTTGCTCTCTAAAAATCAATGGGGAAAAAAATGTCCTTGTTTGAGGATTAACAAAAATAAAAAATAAAAATAATAAAAATTCTATACAGAGGCCAGTGACCATTTCAAAATTTTTACTCCTGCCTGGCCAGCATGGTTCAGTGGTTGAGTGTCAGCTTATGAAACAGGAGGTCACGGTTCAATTCCTGGTCAGGGCACATGCCCAGGTTGTGGGCTGGATCCCCAGTGTGAAGTGTGCAGGAGGCAGCCGATCAATTATTCTCTCTCATCATTGATGTTTGTATCTCTCCCCCTCCCTCTCTGAAATCAATAAAAATATTTTTAAAACATTTTTACTCCTGCTATTCCAGGGAGAGACCCTAGAATTGCATCTCTGTGTACTCATATTTCATTCTTCCTGTGGAGATGCTGTCTCAGTCATTACTCAGATCATAAAGGCTGTAGTATATTTTCAGATTCCTAAAAGGAACATGATTCCAAAGGATCTTCTGCTCAGATTTGCAATGGTGGTAAAGGTTCATAAAAATTCCTGGAAAGGGAAATTTCCATGGATAGCAAAATATTTACCTGGAAAGTTTAGTATATCTATAAAGCTAAAGCTAGAGTTGGATTCTAGCCATTTAGAAATAATATTGCAGTTTGGCAAACACACCAGCTTTCTAATTACTGACTTTTTTTTCTTATAATTATCCCTTGAAAATTTTAGAATGTACCAAGTGAGGGAATATGAGAGTCCAAAAATGTATAGAGAACACAGGCTCTTTTTCTCTTCCAGGTTAATTTCACAGTCTGAATTGTTGACACTCACCCACCCCCCCCACCCCCAGAACTCCAGAGCTTCATGCGTGTTCACTCTCCCCACTGTGCACTAATGTGGAAGAGTTTACCTCACACTGAGAATTTCAGCTCCTAGCTGGGAAAGGGGAGGACAGGAGTGTTAAGATCCTGTTGCCATAGCAACCCAGCGCTCCATGTAATCCATCCCCCTTCCTTTGGCTGGCCAAGCTCAGTAATTCTGTGAACAGAGCAGCACCACATTCCCAGTCAGAGAATCACTACTACCAACAGTCATTTTGTGGGAGAAAGGGGAAAACAGTCCTAGAAGATGGAATAGAGGGGAAGAGGGAGAGAGGGAGGGAGGGAAGGAGGGAGGGAGAGAGAGAGAGAGAGAGAGAGAGAGAGAGAGAGAGAGAGGAGAGAGAGAAAGGGAATGATTGTGGTAGTAACTGGGATAAATTGACCATCTCTATACCTACACTTAAGGCATTTGCAAGGAGGGGAAAGGATGAGTCAGAGAGACCTGGAGCTCCCTCTAGAGGCAACCCCTATTAAAGGTTAAATGAGCTAGCTCTAGCTGGTTTGGATCAGTGGATAGAGCCTCAGCCTGGAGACTGAAGGGTCCCGGGTTCAGTTCTGGTCAAGGGTACATGCCCAGATTGCAGATTCGATCTCCAGTAGGGGGCATGCAGGAGGCAGCCGATCAATGATTCTCTCTCATCATTGATGTTTCTTTCTTTCTCTCTCTCTCTCTTCCTCCCTTCCTCCCTCCCTCCCTCTTCCTTCCCCTCTGAAATCAATAAGAATATAAAATAAAATTAAAAACGAGGTTAAATGAGCTGTCGTTGAGATGGTTTAGGTCGGTGCCTGTCACTGAGTTAATAGAGTCCAGTAGGTACTAATACTAATGCTGGACACTGGGCGTGTAAAATAACATCCTGGTCCTCAACATAATCACAGTCCAATCCAAGAGGCACACATACGGAAAGAGCTCCAATGCAGTGTTGCAAGTACTGTATCTCACATGTGTATTTATGTATTTATCATTTTACAAAGTACTTGAGGCTACTTAGAAAATTACAATATACAAAGGGATAAAATGTACAAGTTAGAGAATCAGAACAATGTGAAAAATGATCAGGTTATAATTATGTCTTTGATAAGATTAACATGTGAAATCTATGTGACTCGATCATATTAGATGCCCTTCATGAACCATAACTTTGACTTTAAGTTTCTGAGTTTTCAAAGCAATGAAAAGTGAATGGTCAGTTAAAAAATCATAGTGTCAATAAGATTTTAAAAAACTAGGTGTTTGGTAACACATCACTTTTTTAAAAAATACAAAGAACAATAAATGTCTTCTGGTTGGTGTTTATTAAAAGGAAAGAGTGGTGTGATGAGCAATGTCTTCAACAACAGCCCATAGTAGATAAAGTGCCAGTTTCACTTGGCTGGACGCCTGTCAGTACTGAAAGTTGGCAGGATGTCATAATGCAGGTCAGCAAGAGCAACCTGTCTGGAGCCAGGAGATCTCATTCAAGAGCACAGTTATTTAATGGCATGGATCTATCTATTGGAGGGTAGGCAAAATGTACACCACCAGGGAATAGTTAGACTAAATGTCCTCTATTCATGCAATTTTGCACAACTAGATTTTAATAAAAATGGACCTGCCATGCTCGCTGGCCAACAGAGATATTCTATATGGCTGAGTAGGAGCAGATCCATATGCTTTAACCTTACACCAATCAAAGGTTATAATCAAGGTTTTCTCTTATAAATTAAGTACACATTTGGATATATGTAGAAGTCAGAGCTAAACATATTTATTTTGGAATTGTGAGCATATAGGTCATAAGAATGGATAGTATCACTCAAGGAGAGAGGGTTGATTTTTTAAAAAGAGGAATGAGGTGATATAAAAGAGAACATATTTGCAAGAAGTATTTGATTCCAGACAAAGGGCCAAGAAGCAGTGTTGAGGCAATCTGTACTCCTGAATATGGTTGGTTGACTGCTCGGCTCTCAGGAAAAATATTCTTGATGAGCTAGAGTCTCTGCCCTAGGGGGATTGAATTTATTGCCAAATTTGCCCAACCTGAGAGCTGCAAAGCAATGGGACAGCAGGATAGTAAGATCTGCTAATATTCTCTCTCCTCCCCTCCCTACTTATCCCCTATTCTCCCTCTCTCTCTTTTTTTCTCCCTCTCCCTCTCAATGAGAAAAATCCCTTCTGTTCTGATTGAAAAGGGGTCCTAGAAACGTTTTTTATCAATAAATTATTTATGCAATAGTACAGCAAAGATGGTATTAAAGGAAAATTTTTATTTTATGCTCAAAGCAAATTCATTTTGTAACATGACCAAGTATTAGAGAAATTCAGGTAATAATTTGTAAAATGACTCAAATTCAGCTCTAAATATTGTTTTCAAGCTTAAAATATGTTGGTTGTTTCCCAATGTTATCTGTAAAATAACAAAGGAAAAGAAATATGGACTTATAGATACACTCTTATCTGTCACACACACCACCTGAAAAGCAAAGAATTATTTTTGCTTGGCACATTTGTGAGAAAGAGATAAAGGAATGTACAGGCTGTTTTAAATGATTTCTTTAAAACATGCACATTCATCCACAGTTTCCAGAAGGGCAATGTGCATGTTCCGTCTGGAAAGAGAACAAGTGAGGATGGAGAGACCATAACTGTTTCTTGCCAATAAAGGGTTGCCATGGAGAAGATGGATTGAATTCGGGCTTCCAGATTAAAATAGGAGAAAGAGACTGAGGGAAGTTGGGGACCTATGAGGAGAGCTTCTCATGGTTGGACCCCCAAAGATGGGGTGAGCTGCCTTGTCTGGCAGTGAGTTCTTCATCCACGTGCTAGTCAGATGGGGCAGTTGTAGAGCAACCCGAGTGTTAGAGACGCAATGGCTTGGCTGTGAATCCTACACCAGAGTGACCGTCAGAGTCTCCTGGGGAGCTCTTAAACTGTAGACCCTTTCGAGCATTTATCCTGTCTCTCTTGTAATAATCAAAAGGAAATTTCTCCTTATTAGGATGCTATAGTTAATGCACGAAAAAAAAAGGAATGATAGAAATATTACCATTGTACTACTTCTAATGAATTAGTGGATCTGTGTAATTAATGATGGCAGCCATTAATTAAAAAGAGTGACAACTAGGATCATGTACCTCCTGATGAAAGTACACATCAGCGCCTGACTGGTGTGGCTCAGTGATTGAGCATCAACCTATGACCCAGGAGGTCACATTCGATTCCGGGTCAGGGCACATGCCTGGGTTGCAGGCTTGATCCCCGGAGTGGAGTGTGCAGGAGGCAGCCAGTCAATGATTCTCTCTTATCTTTGATGTTTCTATCTCTCTCTCCTACTTCCTTCCTCTCTGAAATCAATAAAAAATATGTTTTTAAAAGTATACATCACCTGTGAAGTATACCAGCCAGAAAATCAACACCTAATCTAACCTTGCCCCTAGCCCCTAACTACCAATTGAATTAAATATGGGTGTCATGGAATACATTAAATGAAACTATGGAAATTTCACCAGCAGAATCCAGAATGCAGGAAACAGCAATTACTTCAACAAATAAATTATAAGATGGCAAAAAAGGGCAGAAGAGGGGGAACCTACAAATTAAAAAGACTTAGGAGACATATCAAACAAGTAAAATTGATGGGCCTTATTTTATTCTGATTTGTTGTTTTTAAAAATTTATTTCAAAATTATGAGATAATGTGCCAAAATGTTCTTAGTTCAGGGAGTTGGTGTGTTGGAAGGAGGGTGATTAGCATGATGCTGTGTTTAAAAAAAATTTATTGTGGTGTCCTAAGCTTATGCCTAAGAACAAAACCCATTTCAGGTTGGCAGAAATTGCTCACTCCCTTCTGAAGCTGGCACCATACGACACGCAGACGATGGAGAGCCGGGGGCTTCGACGCTACATCATGGAGATGTTACCTATTACCGACTGGACAGCCGAGGCAGTGAGGCCGGCCCTTATCCTCATTTTAAAGAGATTGGATAGAATGTTCAACAAAATTCATAAGATGCCTACTTTGAGGTGAGGAGACCTTCTACTCAGCTGTTGATACTGCAATCCTCAAAGTTAGGCTTTGTCCATTTTTAAGGTGTTGGATCAATCTGGAGTTGAAGGATTGGCTTGAAAGTTTTCTTTTGGAATATGTGCATGACTAATTAGATTTATGAATGCGTAAGTAGCAGGGTCTATATTTTAAAAAATAGCATTTTCAAAATATATATATTTGTCTAGAAAATTCTTGTTGTTTCTAAGCTATTATGTTCCTTATCTGACACACATAGGAATTTGATGTGTATCCTTCAATTACTTTTGAAGTAAAGCAGGATATGCCTTGTAAATAAAACAACTAAGGAGAGAAGAAAAATTAATTTGATGTTCAAAAAAATACTGTATTTAACATGATATTTTAGGTACCAGTGAAGAGAAAAGCCAAGCTTTACAATAATAGGCAACCAGCAGCTTTAAAAAATCCTAGGATTGATAACAAATACCTAGTTTTTAACTTTTCGCCTAATTCAGGGCTACTCAATGGACATTATTACCACCTAATCTCTGTTCAGTGGCCTGAAATGCCCATTGGTATCCTTCCTGTGAGCAGATACCTCTGACCCAGCTTGGACACGTATGGCCATAGTGAGCAGATAGCTCAATTGGTAATGCGAATGAACCCTCTAACTCGGAATTTTCAAGTTTGGATTAGTGAGAACATTTTCTGTCCCTTTAAACCAAATCCAAAATTCGTGCAATTCTTGCCTTGAGAATTTGTAGCACTTAGTGTTCAATGTGTCAGAGCTTTTCCAGGTTCTAGCCTGTGCTCTTCTTCATTCATGCAGCCACCGAAATTATTGAATTTATTTTAAGAAAGAAATGGAAAGATTTTACTCTAATAATGAATGGTTTGTTCCTATATTATCTCATGATGATGAATGCCTATGCATTATATTATCAGTGGCATGAAAATACTTGTCTTTAAAGCACTCCTATTTTCTTTAGTGGTCCCAATAGAGCATTTGTGCCTATTGGCAAATGACCAGAGTCTTATAAGTCCTACAAGAGTGTATCAAATAAATTATTTTTCTTAAATAATTTTTTATCTAAAGATGTTAAACATACCCATAGGCTGACTCATTTGTTCTATAGCTAAACCAATTATTAAATATATCATGCTTCATAAACGTAGATTTCTGGATTAATGCTTAGACTTCGTCAATTATAGGCAGTCTTCTTGGGGTGCATGCAGGGAATTTGGGATTGCCTTGGATTTAATTTCTTCAGGTGATCTCAATTTAACAAGAGTAATGTTGATTGAACCTGACCTGTAAGTTACTCAGACATCATAAATGTCAATATCTTCCCATTTATGAACATTTCCATTTTGTCATTGCAGATACCTCATTTTGGTAGGAAATGTAAGCCTAGAAATTATATCCAGGATAATATTTGGAAATAGTATTGATAGCACTAAAGCCCAGCCTATTTATTTGGTATGGCAATTGCAGACTGGACTGACTTTTATTACTGAAAATCCTATGTTCATTTAATTGGGTTATGTATACTACCTTTTATATTACCAAAGTAAGTAGCCAAAAAGTATCATTTCTTAGGGCAAGAAAGAATACTTTTAAAATAAACTATTTTACTCTAATGTGACTTTTTTTGGCAGGAGTTAGGCCATAAAAGTTCAATTAAGAGTAGTCTGGTTGGAAAGCTGATGAGATCAACTGTACTCCGCTAGAGAGATTTCAGAAATGCAACCTGGGGCCAGATGAGTTCTGTTGGGGGTAATTACCCCTGTGATGGTTTCCTAAAATGGTAGTCTCCTACCCTCTCTTCAAAGTAAAAATAGGGAACTACAAATGCAACCCATTCATCATCTCTGTCTTTTTCTTCGATAGATTTTGTCTCATTAGTCAAGTGGGGCAGGAGTGCCTCTGCCACGCTTTCAGTATCTCCTTCCCTTCCCAGTGTGCTCTGTGCTTTTGGAACAACTGGGTAAACTTCATCCCATGTGAAGTCCTTTGTTGTCTCCGACACCCATCCCGTCTTAGACGGCGTCAGAATCACTGTCTCATTCACCTGTTTCAGACTGTCTCCAGAAGGGAGCCAAGCTGCTAATGGCTCCTGTATTGTATTCCAGGCGACAGGTTGAGTGGGAGCCTGCCAGCAATTTGATTGAAGGGGTTTGTTTGACACTGCAGAGGCAGCCAATCATATCCTTCCTGCCTCACCTTAGGTCACTGATCAATGTCTGTGTCAATCTGGTGAGTAGCCAAGTGGCAATCTTCTGAAATTTTGCACAATTTAACTCTGCTATTGACTTCTCTGAATTGAAGATTTACAGGTCAACCACTTTGTGCCCCTACCTACCCATGAAAACAGACGGCTCAGGTGACACTGAAAATAGTGAGGTACCTTTCAAGGTGGTGCGTGGGGAGATCCAGGGGCCCGTCCCGACACAGATGGGATTTTGGCGTGCTGCTTCCCACACACTACTTTGACAGTTCACCTCTTCAAGTTGCGCTGAGAGTTGAGGGCTGCCAGTTGGAGAGTGGGGTGGCGGAGACCACACGATTGGCTGGAGATTGAGATAGCCTGGGGTGGGGGAGTTTAAAATACAAAGAGGATTTTTTTTTTCTTTTTTTGGTGCAAAATGACACTCTGAGTTGGCCAGTCAAGGATTTATGTGAAGAAAAACAAATTTTGTATTATTTATGTAATATCTAGAGTCGGGTCCTGACAAGGTTTTGTACGATGTGGAAACCATGTTAGAGCATTTCATTGAGTGGGATCTGCTGCTTAACTAGTTGAGCAATAAATCTGTAGCTGGAATGCCTAGTGCAAATAGAGCTCTTGCCATCCTCATTGTTGTCAGTACTTGCTCCATCAAAAAATGTTGACTGCATTCCTTTGAACCCACAAGTAAGTATGTCCAGTCTCCTGATTAGAATAGTTTTGGGACTCATCTCTCATTATTTACATAGTTAGCTGTAAACAACATTCTACAAAACCTTGGCTGAATCCAGTGTTATGTTTGAGCTGACTCCAGACATTACATGCCTTCAGAAGGAGGCAACAAGAACAGATTGAAAGTAACATGCCCAACCTTCAAATTATTATTATTATTGAATGACACTCCCTTACAATGGTTGCATGAAATTGCAATAGCCAAGGCTGGTCATGTGCTCTGTTTGTATTTCAGGTGATGGGAGTGGTAGGACCTTCCAGTGTTGCTGATGGATTACCCCTTCTTCATCTCAGCCCTTATCTCTCACCACCTCTGCCCTTCAGCACAGCTGTTGTCCGGCTTGTAGCATTGCAGATACAGGTGTGACTGCCTTACCTGTTTGTCACGCTCATTCAGTTGCTGGTTGAGGCACCAGATCATGGTGTTCTCCTTTTGTTTTCTGCAAAGGCTGGGCAAAATCTGTGAAACAGAAGTGTGAACATCTCCAAACTTTTACAGTTTGGAGTCTCAGCCCTGAGCTTGGCCCTAAGTTGTGCTTCTGTAATTCTTCTTGAGATCTCAAAAATAGCAGAGTCGTTCAGTCCTACCATAACCTCAGGAACCACTTCAGTCATTTAAAATGTTGCATATACCATAGGAAAATAATAGTTCTCAGATAATCAGCACACAATTATTAATTAAAAGAGAGTAATATTCAAAGTCTGGTTTTAAATTATTTGTAGAAAGAATGGCAATATACAGTTCTTTCAAATGTTATTACTAGACTTTGAATATTTTAATTTTCTTTAATGATTGTGGATTGAATATTCTGGGTACTTTTTTTTCATTCTCCCAGCTATTTTATTTCTTAAAATTAGAATAATCATTCCCAAGGCAAAAAGTGCAGAATGCAAATTCCCCTGCCTCTTTCTGTGTGTCTGATGTTTGTGACTGATAAATCTTGGGAAGTATACAACTGATATAAATGGATAACTGGCCCATTCATTGGCTGACAGCCATGCTTGGTGGGCTATCATCCAGAGAATGGGAAGATGATAGAAAAGAAATTAAGCGAGAACTGTGGCTCCCATGCAGAGGGAAACAATGATATCCCTAAAGCGATACACTTCAATGATTTGGGTACAGAGATCATTTCTTTCTTTCTGTATTACCTATTGCCTCCTGGCTTGGAGAAGGCCTTATGCAGGGGTCAGAGGACTTTTAAATGACTTCCAAGTGGATCAGGGGGCAAGTTCTCATTTTCTTCCTTTCCTTTTGTCTTGAAATTATTTATTGGTGGACCCATGGAGAAAACGAATGGGGAAATATGGTTGTTTTGTAGCAGACCATAATTTTTCATTTAATATTCAAGACGTTATTGTTTTTTAGGTATATAGCTCTCAGTTATGTCAAGCAAATCATGGTAAAGTATCAGTTTTGAGTGAATCTTGGATGCTGCACAGATGACAATCGAACTCAGTTTACAGGAGCAACCACCAGGGAGTCACCATCTCGGTCATGCTGTATTAAAACAAACATGAGTATGGGGGTCAATTAATCTCTTTTTCTATTATTGCTGCACAGGCTTTAAAAGAAGATTTCCCTTTAAGCCATGTGATCTCCCCATTCACCAATCAAGAGCGAAGGGAAGGGATGCTTTTAAACCTACTCATCCCATTTGTGCTCACAGTAGGATCTGGAAGCAAAGGTCTGATTAATTTAACTAAAGGAAATTTATCATTGTTTCATTGTCTTAAATGTCAGGTTTTATTTCTCTTTCTTTTCCCAAAAAGGCCATCACTGAAGTCGATCTGAATGATTTAAACAGGGTTACCTTAGGAAATAGATTTTCCTTCATTTTCAATTTAGCTACCCTGGGTCAAGACTTTCTCTGCTCCATTTCTTAGAAGATCAGTTGTATTCAAAATCACTTCAGTACAGGAAAAATCAGGAGACCATTGTTTCGATTAAGAAAATGGTATTAATTAAAGTACAGTATTATAGGAATTGACAGATGAATGGGCCATGTAACCTCCAGCCACTGGAGTTAGTGTAATCCTGCCACTGCCATTAAATTCCAATATAGTTTCATCACTCTTCCTTCTTGGGAGGATTTTTCTTTTAGGAAAGTTTATATCAAATGTAAAGACTGTACATTATGAGTGTTTGAGCAGAAAAAGAAAAGGCGATTGAAATGGTAAGCAGGAGATTTGGCTAAGAACACAAGCCCTTGGGCGCTGACCATGGAGCAAACAGTACCAGGAACACTTGTCCATAGGAGAAGCTGTACTTTGTGGGGAAAGACCCGCATTTCTAGTTTGGAATTGGACAGAGAGCTGAGTTGTTCTGTGTCTGATGTGGGAAGTCTACCTCGTGACTTGCTTTTCTTTCCACTTCCCTTTCCCGAACTCTGCCCCTCAGATAGCCCGTGGCTGGAGCAGCCCGAGGTGCAGCTGCTACTGCAGACGGTCATCAACGTGCTCCTGCCTCCACGGATCATCAGCACGTCCAGGAGCAAGAACTTCATGTTGGAGAGCTCCCCCGCTCACTGCTCCACCCCGGGGGACGTCGGGAAAGACCTGCGCAGGGAAGGGCTGGCAGAGTCCACCAGCCAAGCTGCATACTTAGGTGGGTTCTTCCTCCGTCTCCCCTCCTTTCTCTCTCTGTAGATACACAGGTGTATGTAGAGGTATGTATGCAGGTGTATGTATATGAATATACGTACCTACTTAGCTACCATCCACTTTGACTCAAAAAATATATATTTTTTAAGGCCTCCATCAGGAAAGTACTGAAAGACTCCACTTGAGCAAGTAAGAAGCACCACCCTTGCAAAAGAGTCTGGTTTCTGTCAATAAACACATGTCCAAAAACAGTCTGTTCATATCTGTGAGGCCTAAATCGCTTGGTCATTTCTGTAAATGACCAAGCGTCTGGGCCTGTAAGGATGGCTCTGCAGTGAGAATTCCTCCTTGTTGACTAAGCATGAGATCGCTAATGAGGCTATCATCCCTAACTGTTATCAGATCGAGGCTCAGCCTGGGGTAGGAGGACACTGCATTGCACAGCTCGTGGGATGTATTGGTCTGTCAGCTGTGTGAATGGAGCCCCTAGAGTTGGGCAGCCTACATCCTGCACAGCAAGACATATGGCCTTGCCGTATATTATGCCTCCTACTAGCTGTTTCTCTTCCCTTACAATATGGTCTTAAATCTCTATCTTGATCTTCACTCCAGTGATCTTGCTCTCCCTTTCCCCTTCACTCCTGCTTTCCCATCCCCCTGCCCCTGCCTTTCACTTGATCCTGACCCATGCAATACTGGAAAGCCACTCTTTGGCCCTGAATAACCTAAGCCAGGGGGGGAAGACCACTCTCGCCACCGCACTGAGAGTCAGGAGCATGCCAGCAGAAAATCGAAAAAGGAGGAAGTTGAGCAAATCTTGTCTGACATTTTCAATTCATCAAAGCAGGTCTTGGTGAGGAGTATAAGATGGACACATACACCTGTAAAACCAGATGCTTGCTGTTGGGAATGTGTGCGGTGTATGAACTGCATTATGAAGGGGTGTATTTGAAAATGATGTGATTGACAATGAGAATAAAAAAGGGGTAAAAACGGAAGCTGCATGTGCATAGGCCCTACCCACGTGGGGCTTGGCTGCCAGAGGCATGAGAATACAGGGTTCGGGTAAACTCCAGACTCTGGGACAAAGCCCCGTGTGAGGTGTGGGGTTATAGAGAGGATGTGGAGAAAGAGGGCTTCACATCTAAGATGAGGATAGGAGAAAACACTTAAGTGACTCTTCTTAGTTTTCCCCACTTTCTACCTTTTTAATGAAGGCCGCCCTTGTGGTCACTCTGCCAAGCTACTGGAGCTATATTTTAAATTCATTTTTACATTTATTTGAGCATTACTGTGCACTCAGAGGTGTTTTCTGTTCTTCACATTATCATCACATTGCACCCTCATAACAACTCTAAGAAGCCTATGTGTCATTTTCGGAATAAAGAGGCTAAGGCCCAGAAAGATTGAGTAACTTATCTAAAGCCTCACAGTTAAGAAGTGGCAGGTCAGCCGAAACCGGTTTGGCTCAGTGGATAGAGCGTCGGCCTGCGGACTGAGGGGTCCCGGGTTCGATTCCGGTCGGGGGCATGTACCTGGGTTGCGGGCACATCCCCAGTGGGAGATGTGCAGGAGGCAGCTGATCGGTGTTTCTCTCTCATCGATGTTTCTAACTCTCTATCTCTCTCCCTTCCTCTCTGTAAAAAATCAATAAAATATATTAAAAAAAAAAAAAAAAAAAAAAAAAAAAGAAGTGGCAGGTCCAAATTTCAAGTCCAAGCCATCTAGCAGCAGAGTTCCTGCCCTTGAGCCCTTTGCTATTCTGTTTGCGTGTTGGGCTGATGGAGGAGAAGATGGAAGTGGAATGGCAGAAGCCCAGAAAAGGCCAGCGGGAACATAGCAGTAGAAATGTCACCAGGATCAGGGTAGGGGAAGAGCAGGGTTGCTTTTTGATCATTTGTTTGTTTAGCTGCGGGAGGAGAGGAATTGAGATGCGTGGTTGCTGTGAAAAGTGAGATTTTTGAGGAGGGAGGTGGGTAAAGAAGAATCTTACAATATCTCACTCTGTTACATGGCATGGTTTTCTCCTGGAAATGCCCTAAATAGATAGGAAAGGTGTGTGACTCTTGAGGACTTTAGGGAGTCGGATATCTGTGTGTGTGTGTGTGTGTGTGTGTGTCTTTTAGTTGCCGAGATGGGCTTTCAGACATGATCAAGAAGGCCCAGGGCCCCTTGACGGTCCCATGGCAGACTCTGGGGGGAGGGCTGTGGCCAACCAAGCTCCCACCAATCTTTGACATCTTTACAGCATCATGGTTGGTCCTGACACACTAGGAATTCCCGATTGGGGCCGGGGGCGGGGGGGGGGGTAGATTATGACACAGCTGCCAGAATCTGAAAAAGAAGAGATATTGTGAAAGAAATCCAACAGGGCGTAGTAATAGACCTGATGCACAATATGGCGGTGGGCGGGGGGGTGAAGAGGAGTTTTTCGTTGTTTTTTAATCTGGAAGGATATACTCCAACACAGCTACTGGTTACCCCCTAGGGAGCAGTTCACGGTGGGTTCCAAAAGAGAGTTGAGGGGAAGGACATTTTTGTTTTTAACTTTGTGCATTTCTGCATGGTTTGATTTTACTTTTAATAACAAGAATATATCATTTCTATGCTTAAAAGGAAAACATTTTAGAACACTCATGTTTTAGTTTAGGATGTGGGTGATATGCTGGTATTACCAGAAAGCCGTCACCATGACCAAATGTTTGGAAAGCAAAATAGTGCCCACACATCATGTGTAGAACACATTTCCCTTTCAATTCTACGAACTGCTTTGCAATGTCTTTTTCAAAAACAGTACTTCAATGCCCCTAAGAAAGATATCTGTGCCCTCCGATTCAGAACGAAAACATGTCTACCACACAAATGTTTGTCTTCGTGTCAGAACACTCTCGCTCGCTCAGGGGTATGCGTAGGTTTGGGGAATCATGGAGAGAGTTTGGAAATTTAGACACGTCCTGATGCATGGCGGGCGGTGGGGTGGGCAGCTGGGGGCGGGCAGGGCTCCTCCGAAGCCCCAGACCGAGGCTCAGTCTTCTCTCTCCCTGCGGTGAAGCTCTCAAGGTGATTCTCGTCTGCTTCGAGAGGCAGCTCGGGAGCCAGTGGTACTGGCTGAGCCTCCAGGTGAAGGAGATGGCCCTGCGGAAGGTGGGAGGCCTGGCCCTGTGGGACTTCCTGGACTTCATCGTGCGGACCCGAATACCCATCTTCGTGCTCCTGCGCCCGTTCATCCAGTGCAAGGTGCGCTGCGCGCGTCTCCTTCCAGGAGTGGCAGCCCCAGGAGTGAGCGGCTCTGCCGACTCAGGCAGGGCCACTGCAGCGATGTTCATGGACGAACCGTAGCTAGCTAGCAGGACCTGTTAAGATCACGCTGGGTGAGGAAAGGGCTCAAAAGTGTAGCCCAGAGGCTCAGATTTCATGTTAGAAGAACCTTCACAGTCTATAGAACTTTGCCTTCTCCCCACTCACTTCCTCCTCTGAGGAGTGATCTAGAAAACGTTCTTTCGTTAGTGGCAGGACTGAGCTCTGATTTTAAATAAACAGAGAAAGATGTGATAGTTAAAGCATGTTTGTCCTCTGAGACCCTCACTATTCTATTCCATTTTATTCCTTTCTTCTTCTTTTTTTTAACCTTTTATTCTTCTCCTGCCCCGATTTCCTGGGGCAGTGATTCAAAGCAATGTATTGATTAAGCACTTCAACACTGTCCTATAAACTTCATATGTGTAACCTTAGTTAACCCTCACCACCAACTATGAAATAAGTGCAATGATGAGCCCATTTAACAGATGGGGAAATTGAGGCCCTGAGCATCTATCTCCACCTTCCTTCCAGCTTCTGGCCCAACCAGCAGAGAATCACGACGAGCTTTCTGCCCGGCAGCATATTGCTGACCAGCTGGAGCGGCGCTTCATTCCCCGCCCTCTGTGCAAGAGCTCCCTCATTGCCGAGTTCAACAATGAGCTGAAAATTCTGAAGGAGGCAGTTCACAGTGGGTCAGGTGCGTGTGCGTGGGTTTGGCTAATAAAGACGCCACTCTTCGGGTCGCTGCTCTCTTCGGAACCATTTGGGTTAGCCATCTCGGAACACTGACAGATTTGCCTATGTGATCATTGGCAACAACAAAACCAATCCAGGGGACATCATCGGTTTTATTGTACTCCTTTTCTAAACATTGTTTGCGATATTTATTTCAGTAGGTAAGCTCTTTTTTTTTTTTTTTTAGTTTAACTGGGGAAAATATATTTTAAATGTGTGCCTTCATTTCCTTTTTGGAAAGGAGAAGGGGGACTCGCATGCATTGAGCATCTATTCTATGGTAGATTATTTCATAGGTGTTATTTCATTTAATCCACACAAATACCTACAAGATGTCTACTGATCCTTTATTAGTCTGCTTCTCATGCTGTAAGTGGACTCTCAGTTAGACATGCCAGTAACTTACATGCCAGTGACAACAGGGAGGGGACTTAAAGCCAGGTCTGCAGGATTGATTGAAAAGCCTCGAACCCTTTACCAACTGGAGGGAGAGAGGGTTGAATCAGAGCTGGCAGACAAGGAGAAACTTTCTTTATATTTTTCAAAGTATTTTCTTTGGGAATACATTGCTTGCTTTTTATAACGATGAACAACAGATTACGGAGGAAGAAAAATAAATCATCTGCCATTAGAGGGCAGTCCATACCCATAAGTGGAATATTCCGTGTGTGGCTTTTTTATTGTTGCTTGCAAAGTATTAAAGACAAAAATTTTGACAAGTACAATCTTGGAGAAATTTCCACAGAGCCATTTAAATATTCTGCTTTATAATAAAAGATTCTGACATAGAACCTTGGGGGGTATTTTATAAATTGTAATTTCCAGAAAAGGAGAATAAGAGAACGGTTTGATTATATATTCTGATTTTTTTTTTTTTTGGTAAGGTTTCCATCAGACAACACATTTATTACTTTCATATGCTTGTGTCAGGTGAGGTATGTTTCTCAGTAAAATCTGCCAGGTTGGAAACTACAATTCGTGTCAAAATTAATTTGCATTCTACCAGCCTTGGAAAATGAAATTGAAAAACAGTAAGAGAGAAAGCAATGTCAAAGCACTTCACATTGTTGGTAATTTCATGCTCCCACCAGGAAACTATTCAGTTTATAACAGTGGCCAATTCTAACTTTTCACTTTAAAAAATAAATGTTCTCACTTCCCATTTGCTACTTTGTCTTAAAGGTCATTCATCTGGGACACACCATTTAACTGACTTTTCTTAAAAAATACAAGTGTTCAGGGAGGAGTGTGAAGCAAACACTTGTTTTCAAGATCCTCACCAAGGATTTCCTTTGGTCTCCCCACCCCTAGCCTACCAGGGGAAGACGTCCATCAGCACCGTGGGCACCTCCACCTCTGCTTACCGCCTGAGCCTGGCCACCATGTCCCGCTCCAACACAGGCACCGGCACGGTCTGGGAGCAGGACAGCGAGCCCTCCCAGCAGGCCTCGCAGGACACCCTGAGCCGGACCGATGAGGAGGATGAGGAAAGTAGGTCGCCCCACAGAAACCGGCAGGTGGGGGGGTAGGGGGCGAGGGCAGGGGGCAGGGGGCAGGGGGCAGGAGGTGACACAGCTTGGCCATGGCAATGAGGGATTGAGAAGGATTTCTGTCTTTCCAACCCTTGTCAGTTCTGACCCCCTGGTCATTTCCACAACAAGGTTTTAAAATGGAACTGTAGCTGATTCCATGATTCCTACAGCCTGCTCCTCTTACAAATTCCTTGATGTACTTGATCATCTGGAGGAATTCAGGCAAAAAGTAAATCTTTGCTTTGAGCTTATATATTCAGCTTTTTTTCACTAGCTCTCATTTAAATTGTGCTTAAGTAACTAAGGGAAGCGTTTATGCTCCTTTCTCCTGGCCATCTTGCTTAGAAGGTTGATCCCCTTAGAACGACCCTTTCACAGGAGTCGCCTAAGCCCATCGGAAAATACATATATAATTACATATTGTTTTTGTGATTAATCACTATGCTTTAATTATGTTCAATTTGTAACAATGAAATTGGGGGTCACCACAACATGAGGAACTGTATTAAAGGGTCGCGGCATTAGGAAGGTTGAGAACCACTGCCTTAGATGATTGCATTGGGCAAGGAAAAGTGAGCAATGGATACGTTCTGGACTCAGAAGGGATCCGTTGGCTATCCTATCTAGAACATGAACCAGCATGCTGTTCGGAAGGAATACCAGTGACTGAAAGAGCCCATGAGCTTCTAAGGCAGCGGTTCTCAACCTGTGGGTGCGACCCCTTTGGAGGTCGAACGACCCGTTCACAAGGGTCGCCTAAGACCATCCTGCATATCAGATGTTTACATTACAATTCATAACAGTAGCAACATTACAGTTATGAAGTAGCAACGAAAATAATTTTATGGTTGGGTCACAACATGAGGAACTGTATTTAAAGGGCCAGAAGGTTGAGAACCACTGTTCTAAGGCATATGCATAAGATTTGGTGTTGTGAAATGAGGAGTAGGGTGCTTTTTTTTCATTTTTATTTTTTATTTGTTTCACACTCATGATTATTCTGCATTAGTTTCAGATGTATACAGCAAAGTGAGTAGGAGCAGGTTTTAAAAAATAAGAGGTGAAAGGTTCCATTAAATACCACTGTTATTTAATGCTTTTTAAAATTGCATTGATTATTTTCCAAGTGTGTTTTAAACACACTCTGATGTAACATTTATAGTGAAGTGTGCTGTCAATGGATGCCTTAAGAATGAAAACAAAATCTAAATCTTTGATCAGAGCCCCTTCAAAGCAAACAAAAACAAAAAGCCCTGAACTAAATGAAATAGAGGGAATGGGAGCTGACGACAGAATTTTAATTAATTAAGAAGAATGAATGTGTTCTAACAGCCTACTAGAGTTGGAATGGGTGAGAGAGGAGAAGAAATAAATGCTGTGTCAAAACACCTATGAATAATGTTATCGGATTTAGTTTCAGAGTTAATCAGATAACAAAGTGATAATTATATTGTCCTGCACCCAACCTATGGACATACTTGTTTCTAATGCACCCTGGTCACTGCTCATGGAAATACTCCTAAAACTGTAATTAGGGAAATGTTGGAGGGATAAACAAAAAACAAGAAAATGAAATAAGAGAGATAAGGATCAGCAGTTTGAATGTTTGTTAAGTCCTAGGAATAGTTTAGAACTTAAAGTAATATTTATTTTTCTTTAATGTTTGAGGTAGTCTCTCAGCAGTTTGTTTTTTAATGATGGAAAATGATACAACCTGTCTTTAGAAGAGCTAAAGGTATTTTACAGGTACCCTTATGAATGAGTAGATAACCGAAGCAATAGGAAGGAGCTAGGGGTGTAAGAGTAGAGAAGACATAAACAGAGATATCATTGACCAAATGCCAACGCTCACACAGTGACAAGTGTGAAATTTTTGCTAATATTCTGCTCTCAGCCATCACAATCATCCCAGTGAAAGCAGGGTTGCTAACAAATGTTGTAGTGTGGTTGTGATGTGAGTGTGTATTGATTTATATGAACTGGGCTATGAAAGCTAGAGGGTTGACTGCTTTGAATTAAACTGTTTTTTCATTTAATCATCAAACGTGTTTTAAGATCCAGCAGGAACAGGGAAGTATGAGAAAGATATGTTCTCTGCCCTCTAAAATCTTAGAGGTCTTGTAGAGGAGATAACATTTTCTCTAATGGAAGAATGGAAGGTAGCACATGATTAATCACCAAACAAATATTGAGACAAATATTGAGGGTGTAAGTGTTAAGTGATATATTAGTTTGAGTAAGGGGGGGGATCAATAGGATCTGAAAGGCCTTTGAATCACAATTCTATGCTACTACTTTTTCATGATTTTTAAGGCACATTTGCTAGTTTGCTTCTCTGTACATGCACCTAAAAAGGAAATACTGTTCTATAATAAGAATCAACTTCAACCCATCATTATATAGCAAATTACAATTTCTAGCACTTTTTATATTCACTGTCTTGGCTTGAAATAACTTTCATTAGAAATATGACCACTTGGGATATTTTAAATAAATGATGTCAGATGACCTTAGATGGTAACAAAAGTTCACCAAAACTCTATGTTAAACAAAATATGTTTACTGTCCAGTGACAATGTTAGCTCACTTAGAATGAGGTAACTGCTAAGTTAACCTTCACAGGGATTTGAATACATTGATTTCTGCTTTTATGGAGAAAACAAGACTATGTGCTTAAAACTTAAAATTTAGGTTAATATTATTTATGAACTTTTAGGTTTTCAAAAATAGTTTTCAAAAAAATATCTGAAATAGTCTTTCTCTCAGCTTTCTCTCAGCAGTCTAAAAATCATTAAATGTACTGAATGTAGCATTTGAATATCAAAGAAATGTACTTGATTCTTTCAGTAACAAAGTTTCTCATTTAACTACTCCTGCAATGTTTAAAAAATTATAGTCCAGCTTTTGTGAATTCACAAATAATCTACTTCTAAAAATGGACAGGAAGTTTATATTTATTTCATGAAAGCTGTTCAAGAATTGGAGTTGTATGGATCTGAAGAATTGTTATTCATCCCTTTGTGCAGATTAAAAACTAAAGAACCTAATGGTCTTTTGTGATGTGTTTTTTTTTTTCCAGGATGTACATACTTGCATGTAGCTTTATTTCAGCTAAGTTTTCCTCACCCAAATGAAAAAAGCATCACTTTAACTTGCAGTTCTATTTCCATCCTCAAGGTGACAATGTTCAGTAACTCTAGAGGCTAAGCTTTATACAAATAGGAAAGGTGTTTCTTAAGACCCCAATGTCTTGGTTTTTAATCTGTACAAAGGGACAAATGATCATTTCGCTTTAGAGACTGTCGTAAGGTTGTATGCAAGCCAAGGATGGGACCCACATGCAAATTTGGATTGGGTTTTCTGATCAATGTCGTCGTTTTGTAACACCCCATTCTTTGCCCCTCTCAGATGACTCTGTGAGCATGCCCAGTGTGGTAAGTGAACAAGAAGCTTACCTCCTGAGTGCCATTGGAAGGAGGAGGTTCTCCAGCCACGTCTCTAGCATGTCCGCACCTCAGGCTGAGGTGGGCATGTTACCTAGCCAAAGGTAAAGAGCCATGGATATCTTATACTCTGCATTTGGGGGAAAGGTAGAAATTCTGAAAATTCACTCCTGTTATTCTGAAAAGGCTGAAAGGGAAGCAAACAATCGATGTTTTTAAGTAGGCCATTCAACTAGGGTTGTACAGGCAACAATTAGCGGCGAGTTTTCTAAGCCAGGGCAGTAGAAGGGATTTCAATTTCTGATCCAAGCATCGTTTCTCCTTTAAAATGCTCCATAAATAGACACATGGTCTTCTTTCAAGTGACATTCTCATATTTCTGATATATAATTAGCTAAGCTAATAATGAGTACCTGGCAAGTATATAGGACTAGCTTGATATATTTGGTAAAGTTTAGACTTCTGGTATGTCATCAGTATTTAGTTGGAGTTAGTGATGCTTAACCAAGCAGAAAAGGACTTATGCTACTATGCGTGACCTTGGGCAGGTCATTCGACAAGAGTCCACAGTTTTCTCCTCTGTGAAATGAGGAGGTTGGCTAAAACAATTGTTAAGTAACTTCTCTATCTATAGTTCCATGATTCCATGATTAAACCCTTTAAAACATTTTGTTTGGTGTTCTTTGCTTCCTAAGAATATACTATAAAATGTCCTAAAAGTATAAAGTCATATGAGCAGTTATTGGTAACTATCAATATTTTTAATTGTTAGCAATGTGCAAGGTTCTCTCAGGAATAAAATAAAACTATCAATTTATTTAAAGTTTTATTTAAATTAGGGAATTATAGGAATTTAAAATAGAGCTTTTGTTGTTGTTGTTATTTACCTAAAATAACCAGGCCATAAATTCCCCTTGGACATATCTGTTAAGGGGTTAACTCATTTCCAGGGACAAAATTTGTTTTATTAGAGACATACTAGGAATCCAGAAAGATAATCTAGTTACACCCTTTGAGCTTGAGTCATGTTTTGGAAGGCTAGTGAAGGTAATAATGTCTATGTGCATTAGGGAGACAGGGCCCTTTTTTTTGGACACAAAGGCTATTTTTACAGTGTACTAGATTAGTTAAACGATTCTTTGGAGGCAGGCACTCCAGTTTTCCAGTTTTCTAAATGGTTTAAGAAGTATTTGTTGAGTACCTCGTGGGTGCTTATAAGCTCAGTGCTAGGCAGTGAAGGAAAGAAAGGCAAAGTATGACACAATTTCTGTTCACAAATCCCAAAATCAACTGCATCCAAGTAAATCAATAAACGATTAACTTATTCTTTCACCAACCTGACAGGTTTTTTCTCTTGCCATTTACCATTCAGTCACTAGAGGATGGAGTAAGGAGGTAAATGGAGTTCCATGTGGATTCTCCAGGGTTACCTTTCTTCCATTTGTTTACTTGCCTTTTCATTGCAAAATTAGCAGTGGAAGTTGGGTTCTTTCTTTACTTTTCTTCGTGGCATCAGTTCCAAGAGTTTGGTTGTGGCAGTTTATGGTAAGTGGTTTCTGTGTGATGATATCACCACGCACAAGAAAGAAGCAGCGGTCTGCTCAATGAAACGTCACGTACATAAGACAGGTTAAAAACAATAACCACCCAGCCAAATGGTTACCGAAGGAATGCTAGTTTCATCTTGTACAGACTCATTCTGCAATGTGTTTCCGAGCCCATGCTTTTATTTGGAGCTCATTTTAAGTCCCGACTCTTGACCAATAAGCAGATCACTCCTCCGAGAGTCGTATTCATCCAAAGTCCCTCCTATCCCCATTGCCTTGAGTCCTATGTCTTGACAAACCCAGCACAAGGTGAAATGGTTGACCGTCTCCTTTTCCTTCCTTGTTCTGTTAAATTTATTTACTTTCAGTTCTGGGAAGCAGAAAATCGCATGCCTTTTTTCCCTTTTTCTTTCATTTGTTTGCATTTTCTTTCCCTAAATGCTTCATCTCCCTACCCCTCCTGCAGTGAACCTAATGTCCTCGACGACTCCCAGGGCCTGGCCGCCGAGGGCAGCCTCTCTAGGTACAGTGTCAATCAATGCTACCTGTCTATTGGTGTCTGTGCTGGGAAACTAGCTGTTCCCTGTCTCCTCTGTCTCTCTGTCTCCTCTCGCCCGTCTTGATACCTATTTCCATTTCTTGCCCTTTGTTGTTCATGAACACACAAGCCTGGAAGTCAAAGGTGTAGCCTCCTTCATTTTCAGCTCCAGAGCTCAATCACAAATGGCCTAAAAAGCTTACTAAAAAAGAAAAATCTGTGGAGTTCTTTTAGGGGCTTGTCCCATGGACATCTAAAATGTTTGATATGCCAAATGTTAAATTTATCCCATTTAATCATTCCCTCCCACTCTGATACTTCCTTAAGAAATGTTGTTTGGAAGCTAATTAATATAACTCCCCATCATCAGGAACCCCCTTATTAAATCAAGACAGATCTTTTAACTGATACCATGGATGGTAAGAAAATAATGATGTTATATGAAGAGTAGCAGTGTAAATACAACTTATGTAATTCCCTCTCTTGGATGCATGCCATGTGGCAGGTTATTATAATAGCTTGTTCAAATAACACTTATGTCAAGAATGTCTGTCCCGATATAAGGATGACTCCAGAACTTGCCATGAAATGGCAGACACAAACATATCTTGGTCAGGAAAAGAAGTCTTATGGTGCAAACAATATAAAGTCTTGGCAATTGGTTTAAAGCTTCAGAAAGGGGGACTGCACCTTTAACACTCAGATATACCACGTCAGACATTCCTAATCTTGTGCTGTTGATTCACACCTCTCAACTAATCCTCATTAAGGGAAATGCTTCTTGTTCATTCTACGAGTGCCATCTCAAGAGAAAACATCCCCTTTCAGGTTTGCATTAGTGAGTGAGTACAACCTACCGCGTTTATTGCTTTATCACCAAGATGAGGAAATGTTGAGAGGCCGTTCCTGTGACAGGTTGTCCTTTGTTTTCTTTGCATCTTGTTCAGTTTCACATTTTCTTCTCCAATTGAAAATGAGAAATTTTATCCATCATCAGGTGTATCTTTTTTTTTTTTTTTTGCTGGACCCATAATTCATGACATTCATTTGTGTTTGCGAGCCCTTGCCTCGACAGATCAGTCTCTTATTGGTGGTAAACATGGACATGCCACAGAGAGCAGACTTTATTCCACTATCAAGAGCGTTGGGGACGAGGAAGAACAAAACGGTCCTCAAGACTGTTTCCCTTCATTGTTCACGGCGTTTGAAGAGATCAGAACCAAGTCTAGCACCGTGACCACAGCTTTCAAAGAATGCATTTGTTAAATGCTTAGTATTACACATCAGACTGGAGAACCTTGAATAGAATATCATTTCAGTGGCCTCCTGAGAGGAGACGGTGTTAAATTAGCCTTCCACTTGGCCAACTTTGAGGGCTTTTCTAAATTAGGACAAATTCTACTCTCGTTGAGTAAAATACTCGTCCAGGGTTGGTGAGAGAAGGCAGGAGTTTGAATGGATTGTTAGAAACTCTTCGACAGATTTGGCCCTCTCTGGCAGGCTCACGGTTCCAATGACTCATTTGGAGTTCTCTAACTCAATCCAATCTGCCCTGGGTCCAGTGTCAATGGGAATAAGCCCAAGTTCTTGCTACGTGAGACTGGTTCAGAGCCAAAGCTGTAGACGTTATCTACAGCTGAATTAGTCATGTCGGGGCTTTGATGATTGTTTTAGGTGAACTATTGTTGACCTGTTGTTCCTGTAACTGTTGTGTTTTAGTTCTGAGTGCAGCCTAGTCACCCTGATTCAGTTGTGGTCCTTAAGAAACTGGAAGATGAGGTATTCCCTTTGGGTTCTAGCTAGTTATATTAAAGCAGAGGCATTCCACCAGCCAGTAGCACTTCCACCTTTGCCATACACTGCAAGTCGTATCTCTTGAACTTCATCACGTCACCAAGTTCTCTTTGGAGGAGAGGAACTTTTGGCATTTACCAGGAGGTGGGTTTATAAAACAGGATCCATACTTGTTATAGTTGGTTTGCAGGCTTTCTTATTTGGGGCATGAAACTTCTTTATGCTACAGACTCTTAAAGTCCTAAAGAAGCAGTACAGCCTGAACAATGTAAATCACGTTCAGCACATACCTGAGCACTCAGGATCTAACATGCATCCAAAGTAGTTCTAAGGAAAATCTGGCACCAAAGCTTAAAGAATATCAGGAAGCATGCCTGTGCAAGAGTAATAGACCCAGGTCCTTCTTCTAGCCCCCATATTTTGGTTAATTTTCTGGGAATTTGCTTTTGAAAAAACACTTGTTTAATTAGGCACAGTGGGCAATGTGATATGAGGAAGACACCAAGATAACCTGATGAATAGATGGGAAAAAATAACAATTTTGCAGACCTTTTGAAAAGTTCTAAGATTTTTATAAATCTGTGCTGATTTATTTTATGTAAAATATTTTTTTATTGATTTTAGAGAGAGGAAGGGAAAGGAAGCAAATCATCACTGTGAGAGAGATACATCTATCGGCTGCCTCCGGCAAGCCTCCTGCACTGGGGATCAAGCCTGCAACCCGGGCATGAATCAAACCATTGACTTTTGGGTGCATGGGATGATGCTCAACTAATTGAGCATACCGACAAGGGCATAACTAATTTATTTTAAAGACTCAAGACAAGAAAAAGCACCCTGTTAGAAGCACTGTCCTATGGAGAAAAGATTCTTTTTTATAAATTAATAAATTGAAATAATATTCCATGGAAGAATTATCTTCTGTTAAGAATGTTGCTCTTAAAGGTATAAAAACTCACTGGAGATGTTTCCTCCCTGTGCCCACCCCCAAATACAAACACCATGGATCATAGTTCTTCTCTAGAAAAATATAGATGTACCTAAGTTTATTCAAGCACATACCTAAGTTTATTCAAGCACTCAAGCCTGGATGCTTATACTTGAGAATTAGATTTTGTTTGGACATGTTAGAAGATTTTGAAAGGCAGGAATTGACAATCAACTCTAATTTTTTAAAAAAGGAGTTTGCAATTCTATTTGATTTCATAAGGATGATTGTAATCACAGTGGAAATTAAGAATGTGGTTCAAGTTTCAACAAGATGTATATTTTGGGTGAGAGAAAATAAAAATAACCTTTTTAGTAGACTCATGGTCATACACATTTTCAAAGTATAAAAATTTAGCAAGTACTCTCAAAGTACAAAAAAAATTAAAACAACCTTTTTATGTAGCTGAAAATGTGTGTATGATACACAGATAAGTACTTGGTCATTACTAAATCAGTTCTTATGTGACCCCTAATATCCAGATTATTCTCTTTTTAATCTGATTCTAACCTCTAATCTCTAAATTCTGTGGTATTTAAAACACATTCTTGGATGTTGTGGAGGCTGAGTAAATGTTAAACAATAATTATTTTACCGGGAAAGGGAAAAATAGGGCTTTTGTCTACTCTTGAATCCCCTGTTCTCTGCAAGCGTTTTTATGGCTCCTTTGATACTGGTTTTATTCATTCCTACCACAGGGCAATTATTCAGGGTAAATGGCTATCCCATGTGTCTTGTGTTCCACCTCTAGATTTATCTAATCAAATTCAAACTAAAAATGCAATGATAAAAGCAATCAAAATACTAATTCATTTTCTGTGTACCAGTCTCCTTACCCATAGCTTCTACTTAAATTTTTTATTTATCAAATATATTTCAATCCATAAACTTTTTTGTCATTTGAAATGAGTGATATGAATTTTTATTTATTACTGAATGGCCCCTTGTTTATCTATTCTTTTAAGAAATACCATTAGGTATACGTATATCCCATTAGAAAGTACAAGCATATTTATATACTACAATCCAGCCATCATACTGAAACAAGGGAAAAGAGGTAATTTGTGCCAAAATCATCCCTCTAACATTACCTAGAATTCATTAGCTTACAAATGCCTTCCTTCCATTTTGAGTAAGGCGTCTGTCTTTTGTGGACAGTTGAGTCACACCAGTTCTGCTAAGCCCCAAGCACTGGCTTCTCTAAAACCCAGATCATGCTATGGTTTGCCGCTGTCATGTTTTTCAGTGACTCAAAAATACAAACGATGATTTTAGCTTCAACTTAGAAAGTTTTATTTGCTTTTATCCTTATTGTTTTGCCCTTTTATTTAGCAAAAGAGTAAAAATGAGCCATTTCTCATTCCCAAGATTAAAAATTTCAGGAAGCCAATTTTCTATAGAGAGGTGCTTAAGGCTAATACCTTGGTCTTTTCCTGGTTAGTTTTAGTATTCGACACCTCTGGTCACACACTGCAAATCCTACAGATGAGATATTACATGATGTGCAGAGAAGCTAAACTGAAACTACTTCTTATATGTGACTCCGATTTGATAAAGACCTGAGAAAAAGAAACAGGCTCTGCATAAATAACGTTCATTATGAACCTCTCTGTTTACTAGTAATATGTCCTAACTGCACATAGTTCAGCCAGACTTTGATGCCCCAAATATAAACATATTAGCATTACATTTTGAAGGAGAATTTAGCTGGGATATATCTCCAAGGATATGTTCTATAAATTCATCTTTGATGTGTGCATTCCATTGATGAAATGCTACATCTTTTACATAGAACGACTACTTACTAAAGCTATAAACTTGACCTATTTCTTAGAAATAAAAATCTCTATCCATAGAGAAAATTTTGGTGCTTATTATGATCCTCCCTTGGAATTATCATTGTGAAATTACCATTATGTTTTGACTTATAACACTCTCTGAGTAATGTGCATTTTTTTCTTTTCTTGCGACATTTTTTTCTCACACTCTGAATGAAAAGAGACAAGTGGACCGCCTCGACTTCATTTTCTCTGCCCAATTATTATCAAAACATTTTATTACCCACTCCCTTTTAGTGTTTTAAAAGCAATAAACTCACTACAAACATCAAATGTAAAACAAGGAAGCATGATATAAACATTACTTTTCATGTTCAAACCATCTTACATCAACTAACTTCTTTTCTCTACCTTAATGGGAGGTAGGTGGTAAGTATTAACCTCCCTTTATGGCTAAGGGAACTGAGGTAACATTTAGATGTCAATGAAGAACCCATTCCAATGAAAGCTTTGCTTGGTATTTGGGAGAAACTTGTTTGTACTTTTGTGCCTGTGGTAATTGAATTCTCTTTCCAATTTATGACACATGTTAAAATGTACACTGAATAAGGAGATGTCATTTCAAACATTCCAGCAACATAGTCTGGATTGTTTACCAGAACTTATTGCATTGTTCCATTGGGGTAATTTTCTGTCTTCATAGAAAGGTCATAGATGGTACAAGGTCATATATGTATAAAAATACTGTACATTGCTCTTTTGAACCTGATATTAAAAGAACAAGAAAGTTTTAAAAACATGTTCGGGGGACTCCTTATATAATTCTGTATTATCTATCCCAAATGGTATAATTATGATATAATTACATTCTTATTTCATAAGAACTTTGATAAAACTCCATTTGGGAATTATTGATTTTCTTTTGGTGGAAATGTAAGACTTTTAAAATTTGACGGATGTGCCTGTGTTGACCACATCATGATTAACCAGTTGTAAACACAACGTGGGAAGCATCTGATTGTCCATCTAGACACCAGTTCTTCTCCCTGCAACTGCCACTAGGTATTTAGATAGCTCATTTTTAAAAAATGAAAATGAATGAATATAGTCTTTCTCTTTTTTTCCTGGACAGTTGCTGACTCTGGATTCCTCTGTGGCATATTTGACTCTAAAAACTATTTGTAAATGATTCTCCTTTTGCAAAGGCAAAGCAGAAATGAATTACCCATAAACCAAATAATCACATTGGCATCATCCACAGAATTACAGTGTTCTCTGGGGCACAATACATCTCTTTTTTCACCCCCACTGCCATTATGAACACCTATTATACATGCATGCAGAATGATAAAGGATCATGGACCCATGACAGTATTTTCAGCTTCACCCAACACTAAAATAGTGGCCACTACCAGTAGTCATTCTTGCATATAAAATACACACATACACAGCAAATTTGGGGGGAGCAGGTTGCTGCTTTTATAAACTGCATGATATGTTTGAGTGCAGCTCTTTGATATTGATCATTTCTCTTCCGAGTTCTACTGACAGATTAATTACTTTGCCAGCCTTTTAAATCTAAATCCATTTTTTAAAAAAAAACACTTGTCTGCCCATGTGACTATTCACTTAGTAGTCACAGAGACTTCAGGCTGCAAACATGTGCTGAATGTGCCCCTTCACCCAAATGGATTCTGTGTCTGATGTGTTTGATATTCGTCCATCTTACTTTCATTTAAATTGAAATCTTCAAAAAGGTGTTCCCATCCATGTGGTAGAATTGTTTGTGTGTGTTTGTCACTACCTTTTTCCCTCCCCTTGGGAAAAAAAATTGAGATTAGAATATGACATCTCAAACTTTTTGGTGGTTTCCAAACCAGGGATGTGATCAAACCAATGTTTTGCTGAATGATAATTATGACACCGTGATTGAAAACAGAATCTCAATTTTGGCAGCTCGGGGCTACAAAGGCCTTGTCCTTCCTCCCAAACCTTTGAAAACTCCCATCTCAGGGGTTCTTCCCCAACCTTCCTTCAAAGATAATGGTATCTTTGAAGTGACTGTTTCGTGTAAGTGACTTAGGCTAACACCCACCAGAGGACGACCTTCCGTACTGTCTCCAGGCACACTAACACTGTTGGTGCTTGGCAGGGTGGCAAGTGTGCAGAGCGAGCCTGGCCAACAGAACCTCCTCATTCAGCAGCCGCTGGGGAGGAAGAGGGGCCTAAGGCAGGTAAGCAGACCTGAGAAGGGCAGGAGAGTCACCCCATGAAATAGATTGAAGCCCTATTGAATTTTGAATGTCCGTATATACTGAGATTATATTTTGCCTTCTTCACACCCAAAACAAGCAGTACAGAGCACATGTAAAACATGGTAAGTGCTTGAGCCATCTGAGAGCTTTTAGCTCCTATGTTAGCTCATATGAACGGAGCTGATGACTTAGTGAAGTGAGTAGGCCTATACTTCTATCTGTTCCCTCTCCAGAAGCTTTCTTCCCCAGCCAAATTCATGACCCAGGACGATTTGTTTTCAAGTTGATGTTTGTGTAAAGGCATAGACACAGTTGTCCTTTCTTCCTCATTTCAAGGTTAATGATTCAAGTTAAACTTGAAACCAAAGTAAAGATTATCTTTATGAGTTTCCTTAGGTGGGTTTCCTTTGCATAACTCTCTAAGTGAAAATTGAAGTGAGCCTTTGCTCTCTTATTGTGATGGGAGCATCCCAGCATTGATTTGGACACCAGACACTTCTCAATATCTGAGGTTTTTTTCAACCCCCCCACTCCCTTGAGAGGTCACATAGGTTCAACTGCAACTTTTAGGTGAACAAAGGCTGATCTATAAGCAATAATCGTTAGTTTTGTATCCTAAAATTCACTGAAATTCTCACATTGGCTACTTTAAATGATGTTAATGTTCTTAGCCTATATGAAGGTGTAATAATCAGGAGATGGGATTGGTTAAAGGGGATGTCAGAATCAAATACTTGTAGTCAAACATGCAGAAAGAAGTTTACAAGCTACAAACGTAAAGAACAATCATAAGAGTCCACAGAAACCCATAAAGTAGGGAGTAAACCATAGAATCCTCAGAGCATAGCGCTTTCTCCTGGGCAGTCAGCCTCATTCTGCCTATTCTCTTTAGCTAAGACGTCCTCTACTGTCACGTCAGAAGACTCAGAATGAATCCAGAAACCGCCATGGAGCTCGGCTGTCAACCACTCGGAGGAGCATTCAACCTAAAACGAAGCCATCTGGTGAGGTTCCTGTGTCCCTTCTGATTATACCATTGACACGATGCCATGCAACTCAGCCTGGGAGACCTGCAGAAACTTATGCAGATAAGCTCCTTTCTGGGAAGACACTAGGATCAGGGGAAAAGTTTCCCAGAAAACTTTAGTGCCTTTGTTTCTTCTCACCTTTCCCAACCCCCATCCTTACCTTCAAGAATCTAGAGAGTCCTAACCGGTTTGGCTCAGTGGATAGAGCGTCAGCCTGCAGACTGAAGGGTCCCAGGTTCGATTCCAGTCAAAGGCATGTACCTTTGTTGCGGGCACATCTCCAGTAGGGGGTGTGCAGGAGGCAGCTGATCGATGTTTCCAAGTCTCTATTCCTCTCCCTTCCTCTCTGTAAAAAATCAATAAAATATATATATTTTTAAAGAATCTAGAGAAATGGCAAAGTCCAAGGTAAACTATAAATGCCATTAGATTTAACTATAGAAGGTTGTGTTTTCTTTACCCAAGCCAGGGACTGAGTTTGTTATACGTCTTACTGAAGACAAAGACATGGTAGATAATGGGGACTTTAAAATCCTGTTGGCAGTTATTATGAGGACCAAGTTCACCTAATGCTCTATGCAAATCTTGTTCTTGGGCCATTTATGTAAAAATGATTTTTCTACCCAAATCCTACTTTTTATAAGAAGATGAAATCAAAATATATACATAATAGTCAAGTATGCTTTCACTTATTAATAAACCAACATCTTTATTAAGAAAAGCCAGGAGATACCAATTATTAAGCAATGACTACATATTTCCCCTCTATTTACTGCTTTACCTCTCACTTGCAGTGGATCAGAAACGATCTGTGACCTTCATTGAGGCCCAGCCGGCTCAGCCAGAGCTAGCAGGTGCCCCAACGGACACACTTCCTGCCACAGTCCAGCCTCAAGGCTGCAGCCCGGCCCCATCTGGGAAGCCAGAAGGAATGGACAAACCAGTCCTCACATCTTCCCCGGCCATTGTTGTTGCTGATCTTCATAGACTGTCTCCCAAGCAGGTGAGGGTGCTAGAGAAACAGACAAGGCTTGCTCCCTGTATACTTATGTCTAGGAACCACTTGGATATGCAAATTTATTGCATAACATTTAAATCTAGACCTGTAACCTTTTGTTAGCCAGACAGATGATGGTCCTATCATCATGAAAAAGAAGACCATATAAAGTATATGGCCAGGAATACATTTACTTAAGAAGCAATAGGAGAAGTCTTGGTATTCTTTATTATGAGAAACCTCAGGGAAAATATTGCACAGCTAAAATATCCATTGAAACCCATATATGATTCATAGTTTAAAGAGAGTTCTGTTTTTAAAAAGTTACCAATTTAGATGCAGCCTTTAAATAGAGAGCCTTCTGCATCCTGTAAGATGAGAGGAACTTCTTGTTTTGATCTTTCCCCTCATTGTTATGATATTTTTTTCTTCTTTTGATTTTTATAAATGAATTCCCAGAGGTCCAACTTCCTTCTCATGTACTTGAAGAAAGCAAAGGGGCAATGTTACTATATACATTTGTGTAGTCTTTAATGGTTAAAAAGTATTGTAACAGCATGAGCTCATTTATCCTCGCAGTGTACGAGGTTAGCAGAGCAAAAATTATGCTCATGCAATAGGTTAGAAAACCGAGGCTTAGAAAGTTGGAGGGCCTCCAGAAAAGCTCACATCTAACAAAGGCTAGAAATGAGATGAGCCTTGAAAATCCTGTCCAGTTAAAGCTGGACAACATTTTGTATACTCTTCCCTGGCACCCATTCTACTTTCCCGTGACATTATGGTCTGTTTGATCATAGAGTGAGATCCTCCCTGCTGAAGAAGGAGAAAAGAAGGAGGACCCAGAAGTACAAGGTGCTGCAGCACACAGCCCCCTCTCTACTCAAATCTCAGACCCTGATGACTTCACAGGCCTTGAGACGTCCATCCTCCTGCAGCACGGAGACACTGTCCTTCACATCAGCGAAGAAAACGGCATGGAGAACCCCCTGCTGTCCAGCCAGTTCACGTTCACTCCCACGGAGCTGGGGGAGGCTGGTGTAGACCTGGATGAGTCGCATGTTTAGTTCTGTATCTTGTCCGAGTTGCAGGTGCAGACAAGATGAGGGAGGGATCACTTAGCTAAAAGTTGAATACTTTTGCTTGAAAAAAAAAAAGATGAAAACACAGCACTTTATATCCAATAGGTGACACAAATCTCAGTAGATTTTGCTGCCAGTGCACATATTGTTTCATAAACATCTTTTAAAAAACAATGGCTAAGATTAGTTAATTGTATGAAGACCGTAAAGACGAGGGAGTAATAAGGGGGAAAAGCCGTTTGCACATTGTTTGTGATTCAAGAAGGCTTGAGCAGTTAAAAACGTACGATTACAGAGCTGCTTAGCTAGAAATATTAACAAATAATATATTCTAAAAGAGAATGCATTTGAGGTTATTCACATTATACATCTCATGCAAATGTTTATTTTTATAGTTTCAAAAATATTAAAACAGGTGGTTGTACAAGTAGCAATTTACATAAAAATAACAAATAATGAAAATATTAGTTTGGGGGAAACTAAATAATAAATAAGTCCACAGACATTTTTGTTTTGATCAACAACGCAGCCATGTAGAAGAAGGAAAACATATTATTTTTAGAGCTGTGGGCTTTTCAATATTTGCTTTTCAACCGTCATTTTTATTGCATGTTGTAAATCAGAATGCTAATGCCATAAGGTCATTCCGTTGATAATCAATCACTGTAGAGAGAATACTCTAGAAATTATCAAATGTAATTCTGAATTAAGAAGAACCTAAACAACCCATACTATAATAAAAATGAAATATAACTATAATAGTTAGGAAAAGATGGTATTCCTACTTCTAGCCCTAACTACATCTTGCCAATATTAGGAAATACTGCAAAATGTGATTAGTTTCCTTATAGTAGTGCCTACCCTCGGGGACTTATTTTCAGATATTAAAGTTATCGTTAGAATAGGTTCACTAAAATAGCTTCCCAATGTTAACAATATTCTTATCATCCTTTAGACATTTGAGTTTATGAGGAAAAAAAAATAAATTGAGCAATCGCTTCATGGACAAAGTCAGCTTATGAATTTATTTTAACTTGAAGTTCAGTTACTCAAGCAAAGTATAAAACTTAAAAGGCTTGTGAGGCCATATCTAGTATGTTATTGATGCTGTAGTAGGGCTAGGAATAATACAGTTCAAAATTGAATTTCAGAAATGTAACAGTTTACATTAGAAAACTGTTACAGAACTACTAATTATATAAAAACTCATATATTTACCTAAATTGGTATGGTGGTGTGTGTGTGAGTGAGTGGGTGTGTTTTCTAGTCCTCCAGTTGAAGTTAAATACAGATATTTATTATTGCAATGAATTCATAACACATTCTATATGCTTAAACTTTGACTATGTTGACCATGAAAGTATATGTATATATAGAGACCTATTAAACCCACCCAAATCACAAGGAAAATTATTTTTCTGTAAGAATCCTTTATTAAATAGGCATTGTTTACACTGTGGTTTGTACTTTCAAATATAATTGGGGTTTTGGTCCAATTTACTATGAGAATGAAAGGTATCTGTGAGTTAAAGACAATAATGGACAAAACTAAAAATTTTAGATTAAGCTTCAGAAAATAGAGCTTCAGAAAGCAGAGGCTTCTTTTCTGTTTTAAAATATTTTCAGAATATAGACACTTAACACTGAATTATGCAGAAATATAATGTAAGTGGGTTTATAACTCTTTCTAAGCTGATGTATTTTGCCTGTTAAAAATTATGCTGCTCAATTAGTGTTAGAGGCCTTATGTTTGGTAATTACATGTGTCTGAGCTATATGAGTCTCTATATCTGTCTGTGTTTTGTTTCAGTCACTTGATTCTTGATTCAAATTCTCTATGTGTAATTGTATAACATATTTAAAAAGTAAAGGGGTCAAAGAAGATTGTTAAATATCTGCTAAGAATACCTTTATATGTAAAAAGTATTGAACATATTTATGCTGACCCGTCTGCCTTTTAGCCTGACTCCTTCACTCTAGGGTTATAGATGGCTGTTGGAAACTTTTCCAATAAGCTAAGTATTGTTGTATCTTGCAAAAAAAGCCACCACTCTGAGAAGCAGGGCCTTGGAGGGTGGGAATGTTTTCATACTGGGATTACTGAGATTTTGCAGATGTATGTATGCATCTGTTCCATTTAAGGTGCCCTTAAATGTGTTGAATGTAATTTATTGAATGTTCATGTGCAATTGATAAAGTATCTAAATGTATGTGCATAAGATTGTCACAAGATGTATTCTCAGGAATACTGTTACCTGAGTTTGAAGGAATAGCTATTTAAAAAAAAATAGTAGTGGGAGATTAGAGAAATGTTTAAGATATTTAACAAATTTTTGCAATGTTCAAATTATTGAGTATATGACTAAAAATAATTATATATGATAAATACAGTATTGGTAATACTATATCATTTCTTAAGCTATGATGCTTAATGATATTCATTTTGTTCAGAGGAAAATTAAAACAGGCACTTACATCCCATGTGTAAAAAATTGGACTCAACTGAGAGGTTGCTTTTTCAGAAATTAACTTTTGAGAGAAATTGGAATAAACACGTATCATCCATAATAGTGGGTGTAGATTTATAGTACTCAGTTTCAATTAAAGCAGTTCAATCCTGGGTACAGCATTTTCTATAGAAAAACATTTTATTCTCGTTTTTCCAGTATTTGCTGCTTTCTATAATTCTATTAGATGCATTATTTGATTTTTTTTCCAATAGAAGGAAACTGAATTGTTGAGTACATTGGGACAATGCACTGGGAACTAGTGTCAAAAAGCATAATTGGGCATGGCAGTGCTGGGAAAACAATCTCTGGTATTTGGGGGTCTGGCTAGAGCTTGTTGAATAGGCTGAAAGTAACTGGTTTGCTATTTCAGGCCTCCAAGAGTACCTAAGGCAGTGTGACAGCTCCCTTCTTTAGTATCTGTCCCTTTAGTCAATGAAGAATATTATCCACTCAGCTGTCCAACTCCAACAGTATCTGAGATGAGAATAGGGTGTGTATAGGGACCTACAGGAAAGAAAGGGTCAGAAATAGAATTATAGTCTAAAACACAAATACCCTTCCTCAAGTCTGGAATTTGCTGCTGTCACACCAAGCCATGCTGTTGCCATGTGACTGCACACTGTCCATGCCATGGCTTGTCCTTGGCAGTGAGTAGAAAGTCCACTTCCTCATTTACTTTAGTGGGCCTCAACTGCACAATTCAGAAACAGAGTTTGGTTTGACACTCAGGACAATAAAGACAAGTTAAGAGTAGAATGTATTTGGAAAAGCTTAAGGCAAATTCATTTATATTGTTTTAGGACCATTTAGCATTACAGATCAATGTACCTCCATAATATATTTCAATAGTCACTGTGACTGAAGGATAAAAATCCTTCATTAGCCATTTTGTAGGTAAAAAAACAAATGATTACACAGCCAACTTCCCTCAGATGACTTAAGAAGTCTGTTATAAATACTGGATGACCAAAGAGCATGGAAAAATGCCTATGAATTAATACTGAAATGTTTATGAAAGATATTTATGAAAGATATTAAGACTTCTGTGTTTGAATATGCACATATATAATAAAATAACTCTAAAAACACTTAAGAGGACTGATTGTTTCATTTCTCATTTCTTAACATAGGGAATAGTTTAACTCATTCAGGAAAGTATTCCTTTTGGAGCCCTGCTGTGTGCCTTGATGTCTCTCCTCAATCCCCTACCTGGCCTGAGGTCACCCTTCAATTAGACACATCCAATTCCTCCCCAATCCCAACTGTGCTCCCTTCTACTCATATATTCTACCCTAACTTTCAAAAGTAAAGCAGAATGAGCATATTGGGAGACAGATACCCCAGCTTGACTTCTTTGCCCAGGTTATGACCTGGAATGACTGGTAGATTTCCCAGGAGGAATGTTAAGGACCTGGTTGTCCTCTGAATGTGGCCAGAACCATCATGGGGTTCAAGTTACTACTAGTCTGCCTTTTATACAGAGTACATAGTGCCCTATCCTTACCCTCCAAGGTATGTTCTTGCTAAATTCATTTTTTTCCTCACATGGTTGATATTTCCTGTCTTTTCCTGACCCAAAGACTCTAGACACATTTGGCAGAAGAATAAACACTCTTATACCTCTTCAATTGTGTCTGAACAGTAAATAAATGGATTATAATCTGTCAATGAACATTCCTGAGAGGGAAAAAGCAAGACGATAAGAGGAATGAGGACAAGAAGCAGAGAAGGAGAGTTGTAATTATAACCACCATTATTTTGTTCTGGGCACCAGGCATCATGTGCTGGGCACATCACCAGGATTTGCTTATTTAATCCTCACAACACTGGACACTGTCTTGACAGATGAGAAAACAATGAAGCAGGAGAAGTGACTTTCCAGGTCATTGCGGACTCAGAGAAGAAAGATTTATTTGATGTGAACCCCTAGAAGAACTTTATCTGCTGAGATGGACTCCCCATGGTCAACTGAGGGCCCAGATTTTGCATTTTATTTTTATTTTCCAGTTACAGTTTACTTTCAATATTACTTTGTGTTGGTTTCAGGTGAACAGCATAGTGGCTAGAGTCAGTCCTATACTGTACAAACTGTTCTCCCCAATATTTAGAGTACCCACCTGGCACCATACATAGTTATTGCAATATTATTGACTCTATTTCCTGTGCGATACTTTACATCCCTGTGACCATTTTGCAACTACCAATTTGTACTTCTAATGCCTTCACCCAGTCCCCCAACCCCTTCCCCTCTGGCAACCACCAGTCCACTCTCTGTGTCTATGAGTCTGTTTCAATGTTGTTTGTTCATTTCGCTTGTTCTTTAGATTCCACATATAAGTGAGATCACATGGTATTTGCAATACCATGGATGGACTTAGAGAGGATATTATGCTCAGTGAATAACTCAGTCAAATAATAAGAGCCAAGTGGCCATTTGCTGACAAGGGGTTCTCATCTACTCTGTACCAGGAAGAACCACATAGGAATTCTAAGCTTCCTGCTCATTTACTCCCACGGAGCCAACTATCATAAGAGGTTTCATTTTCCCACCAATGGACTAAGACCAGCCCAGTCAGAGCAGAACTGCCCCATAACGACCAATCAGGATGTATAATGCTGACCAATCAGGGATCCACGATTCAGACCAATCAGATGTGTAGGATTTGGGGTACCTCGTTTACATAAAATGGACCTAATTGAAAACTTGGGCAGAGACTTTACTTATATAAGGCAGCCTCCCCTTTGTCTCAGGGGAGCACAGTTCAGGTTTTATACCTGGGTCTGTGTCTCCTACAGCTGCTTTTGCTCAAATACATGCTTTTTAATCCTTATTATAGTCTAACATTAATTTTGGGTTACCTCACCCAGCTAGTGTCTGACAGAGCTATGATCCCGCCCCAAATCTGACTCCTTCAGCTTTTAGGACCAGTTCACGGAGAGAGAAATAAGGAAGAAGTGGTTTTTGCTTTGTGTTTTTGAAGGGTAACAGGGGATGGAAAGGAAAGGCACACAAATGATGGAGAAACGGATAGTAAAGCGAGGAGGAAAAGAAACTATAGGAAGGTAACGTGTTAAAAGGTGAGGAAACTCGAGTTCTCAGAGGACTAAAGCCGGTCTTAAAAAACGAAGGTCAGAGGCAGGGGCCTTGATGCGAGGCCCCGCCCCCAGCCGGAAGGCGGGACTTCCTCCTCCCAGGGCCCAGGGCCGCTGCTTCCGGCGGAGTCCGGAAGACTCTGAGGGGAAGAGGCCGGGTCAGAACGGAGCAGCGCCTTCTCCTGGCCCGGGACTCGCGAGGTAACTTGCTCTGGGGAACCAGCACTATGGCGTCGGGCTGCAAGGTTGGGCCGTCCATCCTCAACAGCGACCTGGCCAACTTGGGCGCCGAGTGCCTCCGCATGCTGGACTCCGGGGCCGACTACCTGCACCTGGATGTAATGGACGGGTAACTCCGCGGGGCTCGGGCCCGGGGGGCCGCGCGGGCGGGAGGGATGGGCGCGCCTGGGTGGAGAGCCTGTTGGGTGCGCGGCGTCCCCGTACCGCGGAGCGCCTCGCTCCGAGCGCGGGCCCCAGAAGGGGGCGGGCTGGGGACCCCGGCCCTGCGGGGAGGGGAGCGGAGCCGAGGCGGCGTCCGGGCCTCTCCGCCCCGCTCCCGGCGCAGCGAGTGGTCGTCTGGCCCTCCGCACCCGGAAGCGACCTCCACCTCCAGGACGCCCCTCTCAGGTTCGGTGAGGGAAACTGAGGCCCGAGGGGTAGGCATGACTTGCCCAAGTTCATATCCTGTGGGGGGTTGGTGGCCACGCCGGGGGCTCCACACCGGGCACCCGGAGCGAGAGCCCGAGTGCTGCCGCCCGGGGTCCCCGGACTCGCCCTCGCACCTGGTGGAGCTGGTGTCGCTGCGTGAAAAAGTGCGAGTCGGAGTCGGACCTGCCGCTTAGTCGTCATCTTCGGGAGAAGATGGAACGAGGCGGCGGCGCGGGTTCAAGTTCACGGCGCCCGGCCTGTCGTAGATTCGTGATGGTTGGTTGGATCGCGGTTCCAATCGTGACTTTGCTGTCTGTTTCCAGGGACCCTGCTCTCCGGGGAGCCCGTTTTTTGTTGTTGTTGGGTGTTTTTTTTTGTAAGTCTTTTAAGCACGGCGATTACAGCACCTGATACTGTTTGCAGCCAGGATGGTGCTGGTTTCTTAATTTGAGAATAAAATGAGGAACAAACCTGGAGGAGGCGGTGAGACGCTGTCTGGTTGCAGCTCGGATCTCTCTCCTGGGGTTCGCCCCGCGGATGACCGGCCGGGCGATCCCAACCGCCTTCCCGAGGCCCGGGGTCGGGACGCATGTATTTCATGTGGGTAAAGCCCCTGCCTGCCCCCATGCACGTTTGCAAGTTGTGTTGTTGACGAAAGAGGATCGGTTACTTCTGTGTGTAACGTCGCTCCTCTTCTAAGAGTTTTGTCTTCCTTTGCGTGGTTAAATCCGTGGCTTCTCTTTCCCTTCTGCCTTCCTGGTTTGACCCCCTGAGAATGGCAAAATCTTGACCTTCGAGTACCCCGGGAACTCCGGGCTCAGAGTGTAAGAAAATTAGTAAATATCACCTCTCACAAAAGCTTGATTTTTAGTTTGCTATCGTATGTCATTCGACCTCTGTCTTTTTTTTTTTTTTTTTTGGACAGCTTTTCTCGAAAGCCCTGAACTTTCACAGGTGATACATTGAACGGCGTGTAGCTAGGCTTTTGTGTCAGAGACACCCAGGGTTTCAGGATGGAACAGGCTGCATGGATGTGTAGGTAGCCTATCAGACACAGAGAACAGTTTGGCTTTGCATAAGTCGTGTTCACCAAAACTGGGAATATTAATGATAACAGCTCTTAGCTATTTCTGTCCCGGTGGTGCTTTTTGGAATTAACTCATGCCACTTTTTTTTTTTAAATATATTTTATTGATTTTTTTACAGAGAGGAAGGGAGAGGGATAGAGAGTTAGAAACATCGATGAGAGAGAAACATCGATCAGCTGCCTCCTGCACACCCCCCACTGGGGATGTGCCCGCAACCAAGGCACATGCCCTTGACCGGAATCGAACCCGGAACCCTTCAGTCCGCAGGCCGATGCTCTATCCACTGAGCCAAACCGGCTAGGGCACTCACACCACTTTTAAGAGGTGGGGGCTGTCGTCAGCACCAGCTTTTGACAGTGAGGAGAGATCAAGTCACTCTCAGGGGTGTCCTAGCTAGGAAACGGTGGAGCCAGGATGGGGAGCAGGCAAACGCTGTGTTGTCTCAGAAATACATGTCTTCTGTGGGTTGTGGGCTTGCAGAGGATGGCTAAGACGTTCTCTGTCCTTACAGAGCAACTGATAATTTATACACTACTTTTGTTTCCATTTCATCTCTCCTGCTACACTGTAAGCTCCCTGATAACAGAATCTGTCTTTCTGGTTCAACTCTATTCGTTGTGGGTAAAGCACCATAACAAGCTTAGTTATAGTTGATCCAATAAATGAAAGGCTGTATCATAATCCCAAGATGAAGATAAAAGTATTTGTTTTTTATTGACCCTTCTCCCCCCCTGCAAGATACATGTTAGTATGAAAGAACTAAATTCTGCACACACCACTTAAAAACCCTTCCCCTTTTAAGCTTCACCCCTTTTTGAGCTAACAGCTACCATTCCTATTACCCTATTACAAAGGAGGAGACCAGTTTAAGCAGGTTCAGCGCCTTCCTGACTGTCCCACCAGAAGAGGTAAAGCCAGGCTGAGCTGCAGTGTCCCCTAGGCCAGGGGCATGAAAAGGTGGGGGTGGGGGTGCTGGTGGACTCCTTTCCCCACGTGGCCAACCACAGTTTCCTTCCCTCCAGCTACTGTTTCCATGCTTTTCTCTCCTGGCTCCCTTTGAAATTCTCCAACATTACACTGAGTTTGGGTGTGTTTGTTCTTTTCTTGTCCCCCCCCCCGCCCCCCCACTCTCCCACTAACTCCATTTCTCTTCTGATTAAAACTGAATGTCTTCATCTTGAAAGTCAGAAACAAGTTCTGGAAACCTGGTGGGAGGTGGGGCACTGGTATGGTTAGATATTTGAAATAAAGGACAAGAGGAAAAGAAAGTTAGAACACATATAAATTCATCATGACAGGATGGTAACTGGAAATGTGTTGGTCCTACGTGTGGAAACAGAGCAAATAAGCCATTTCTTTTCTTTTTCTTTTTTTTTGTTAATCCTCATTTGAGGATACTTTCCCATTGGTCTCTTAGAGCAATGGTTCTCAACCTTCCTAATGCCGAGACCCTTTAATACAGTTCCTCATGTGGTGGTGACCCCCAATTTCATTGTTACAAATTGAACATAATTAAAGCATAGTGATTAATCACAAAAACAATATGTAATTATATATGTGTTTTTCGATGGTCTTAGGTGACCCCTGTGAAAGGGTCATTTGACCCCCAAAGGGGTCGTGACCCACAGGTTGAGAACCGCTGTCTTAGAGAGAGGGAAAGACAGAAACATCGATGTGAGAGAAACACATGGATTGGTTGCCTCCTGCATGCACCCCAACCAGGGCCCGGGCCAGGGAGGAGCCTGCAACCAAGGTACATGTCCTTGACTGGATTCGAACTCAGGTCCCTTTGGTCCGCAGGCCGATGCTCTATCCACTGAGCCAAACCAGCTAGGTTGCAAATAAGCAATTTCTAAGTTAATTACCAGAATTTAAAATTGGGGAGGTTTCATATTAATACTAAAAATCTGACTTTTGAAAAGCATCCAAAGGTTTGCCAGTACTGGTCCAGTCTCACAAGGCCCCGATAGGCTGGAGATGAATGGCAGCCACCATTAGCCAGGCCAGGTGTTCTTTATTCACTGTTTTGCTTCTCCATGTTACCTGCTAGTCCTTGTAAGCATATGAGTTTGTGAGTCCTGGTTCACAGGAATTGTTTTCTGGTTAGACTTTGACATTTTATATCAAAGTTAGTCCGTCTTATCATCTTTGCTTTTTTGAGAGTTCTGGTAAAGGTTTGATATGTCTAAAGTATATTGCATGACCATTGTAAACAAAGCTTAGGGTTGATGGAACATGATGAGCTAAAATAATTGTATCCCTGTGTTATAGTAAATAATTATAGTTTAATTTCAGTAGTTTTCTGGGGGAAAAGACTTTTATTGAATTTTATTTTTTGCAGACTTTACTCCCAAAAGTACCCTCAAGGAAAAAAAGACCGTAATGTAATAATGAAGCAGACTTCCTTGATAAAATTTTCTTCATTAGAGTGAAATATTTTAGTGTTTTCCAAGCTGGTCTGATAAGAGCTCCCTGTGCACTTAAGAATTCAGACTCCCAGCCCCTCTTTGGTGTCAGTAGGCTTGGAGTAGCGCCTATAAATCCTTTTGTTGTAAGTGTTCACCTGGTTACTGTTGTCAAGCAAATTTTTGGTCACCTGAATTCATGTTCGCGTTTGTAGCCTTTTTTTGTTATGGTTTAGCTATAAGCCTTTGGTTTCTTAGGGTATTGGTGCACTTTTGTTTTCCCAGTGTACTTGGTGAACGTAGTGCATTTAATTGATCTTCAGTAGCACAATTTGTCATATAATTTGGGGGTCAGTAGTTTTATACAGTCTGCTTCTGTTTCTCAATGAAGTAAAAGTATATTTGTTTCATTCTCATATTTTCTCAAGATGTGGTGATGCTTATTTTCATGATAAATGAAACCTAAATTTGAGACAACAAATGTACAGGCATACCTCGGAGATATTGAGTTCCATTCCAGACCACTGTAATAAAGTGAGGATTGCAATAAAGTGAGTTCTCGTTATCTTTTTACTGGTGGGGGTCTTGCCTTCAGTTTGTGTAAAAACACCACCAACAAAAAACACACCTCTGAGGTGCAATAAAACAAGGTATGCCTGTATTTCCAAGGCCAGACAGTGAACGAAATACTAATCTTTCAATTCCAGAGTTGTATAATATTCATTAAGCCTCACTGCCTCCTTCTCTGACCCTTACTTCCAAGTTGTAAGTAAACATAATAAGCCTTTTAGGCATAACCCTAGCAATCGTTGCTCTTAGGCAAATGTTAGATGACTTCCTAAATGCTAAAACCCCAACCACCAAGGACCAAGGAGTGTGAGTGAATGTGTCTGTACCCATCCATCTCACCAGCCCCTCTCAGATGTGTCCTGAACCCTCACCTCTCCCTCTTAACTTTCCTCACCTGGATTTGCTTTTTCTGTTCGTTATGAGTTTGTTGGTGGAGGGGCAGGTGAGACTGTAAAGAGCTTGAACTTTGGAGCCAGGTTGCCTGCCTTTAACGCTTGCCTCCAGCACTACCTGGTTGTATGACCTTCGGCCTCTTTTCCTCATCAATAAAATACAGATAATGTAGTATCTACCTCATAGACTTGTTTTAATGAGTTAACACATGGAAAGTGCTTAGAATGGTGCCTGGTCCATACAAGTTTAAACTGTTAAAATCTCAGTAACACTCACTCAGCTGGTCATCTAAACTGAAAATGTTAACCATGGTGTATTCTCTCCACCACACCCCCATCTTACCAGTTAACAAATCCTTTACCTGTTTTTGTTTCTGTTATTGTTCCTTGTCATTTGCCAACACCTATTACCTCCCTTCTTCCAATTTAGTCCCCAGTCCCTTCCTATTTTATTATTTGCATCTTATTTTTTATTTGCTTTTTATTTTAAAACCTCATTTCATATTTACAGCAGGATGAAATCTCAACACTGAGCCCAGCATTTGATACCCTTGCTGTGACACAGTCGGTTTCCTGCCTTTTTCACACTAACCAATCTGGTAAACACCATCTTCCTCCTTCTTTGAGCATAACTTGTTTATTTCTGCCTTGGCTTCATTTATTTTTCCACCTTTAAAATTCTGTTCTGTAAATCTCATGATCTTCCCCCCTCTTGTAAAATGCTATACTCCTTGCCTCTGGAACCGGTTTTACCTCCTGTTTGTCTACTTGTTATTGTTTAGCTTTTCTTGCAATCCTCGTATAGGGTAATACCTATTACTTTTAACAAATAAAGCCTATATTCCAGTGGCTTCACATTATCAAGTTTATTTCTCATTCAGTGTGAATGTCCTTCCCTGATAAAGTTCAGTGGCATAGACGTTTTTTTAATCTTTATTGTTGAAAGTGTTACATATGTCCCCTTTCTTCCCACATTGCCTCCTAGGCCACCCCTGCTCCCCGCTCCAGGCCTTCATTCACCCTGTTGTCTGTGTCCATGGATTATATATATATGGATACAAGTTCTTTGATTGATCTCTTCCCACCCACCCCCACCTTCCCACTGAGTTTGGACAGTCTGTTCCAAGGGCCGGCCATAGACTGTTTATCCTGTGGCTTTTTTATTCCTTAAGGGCTTCTTTATTGGCAGAAGGGTAAAATGGGCACAGAAAAGGAATACTATTTAACCTATTGGGCTCTGCAGTGACACACATAACTTAAGCTCACAGTCCACTGGTGAAGACTAGTCATATGGGCCAACTGGATGTAAAGGGAGTTGGGAAATGTGGTCCTTGGTTGTCTGCATTGGCTTCCTATCAACTATCCAATAACAGTAGGTCATGAATTCTGGTGACTTATTAGGCATCTCTTGCCAATGAGATTGTAGCATTTTCTGGGCTAGGCAGGGACTCTTACATGTATTTTTTTTATAAAATACAGTACTCTAAAGCAACCAGCATGTTGCTTAATAGAACTCGAGGGCTAACAAGGAGTAGGAGGATGGTTAAGTTCTTTGGGTCTGATACTTGGAAAACTTACTTTGACTCTTGCCCCACAAATAATTAATTGGTTGACTTAAGGAAGTTATTTATTCTATGTTTTTCATATAACACGTTTATTTCATAAGGCTGAAAGTTTAAATAAACGGTCATTTAGTGCCCTGTGGTATAGGATTAAAAGTAGCCTCAACCAGCCTATAACTAGGATATGAAAGATCCATATTACAGTCCAGAACTTTCTAACTAGTACAGAGGGACTTTTTCTTGAACATTTCCCATCTGGAACAATTTACTGCTCCACCTGACAACCCTTTCATGCTGATACCTGTATGATCAGTCATGCATCTCAGGTGACAAATAAAGGAAAGAATGGGCAAATATGAGTCAGTTTACCACTGTTAAAACCTCAGGATATTATGCTGTGAATATTTTCGTGTGGTTTTTTTGTTTTGTTTTGTTTTTGCTTTTGTTGCTGCTTATAATTATTGCTAAATTTTCATTTTTTTACTGTATATTTTCTTTCCTTTTTGTTAAATTTTCGTTTACATTTAATGTACTTTTTGTTTTTAAAGTGTTTGCAGTCATTCTCAACCTTCCTAATGCCGGGACCCTGTAATACAGTTCCTCATGTTGTGGTGACCCCCAACCATAAAATTATTTTCGTTGCTACTTCATAACTGTAATTTTGCTACTGTTATGAATCGTAATGTATTTTCATTGTTCGCGACCCACAGGTTGAGAACCGCTGATTTATAGGTTAAACAGTACAATAGACAGGTACTGTATATAAGAAAGGTTAAAACGGAATCATTTGGGGTCTGGAATGGATTAATTCAATTTACATTATTCCTAATGGGAAAAAATGACTCCGTTTTCAAACAGCCTTCAAGGATGAATTAAATTCAAGAAATGAGCTTCCACTGTATATGACTTGGGCAAGTCATATAACTTCTGGGTTTTGATTTTGTCATCTTTCTAGTTCTACCCGTCTGGGATTATGAATTACAGAGTTAAATCATTATTTAACATTATTATGATTTGTTCAAATGTCAAGGAGATACTGCTTTGTAAATCCAAAATTATCCAGATAATTTTAGTATTGTTTAATACTGATGACATTAAGTATTAAATTGAAAAATAGTATAATCACAGACATTCCCCTCTACCCCCATCAGAATACATATTGAAAATATTTTCAGAGTAAGATTTTGTTTGTCTTGTAGGCATTTTGTTCCCAACATCACCTTTGGTCACCCTGTGGTAGAAAGCCTCCGAAAGCAGCTAGGCCAGGACCCTTTCTTTGGTAAGTGGGTGTTATGCCATCTGAAGCTGGATGTGTTGCTCAAGTAAAGGAAAAGGTGGTTGATTTCTCAACTTTCAATTTCATCTAGAACCCCTTTTCCCCCTCTCTGTGCTGGGGCTTCATTGGCTGCCTATAATAAGCCAAACTCTTGCCTGTCTCAGGGCCTTGGGACTTTTGCTAATTTCTTGCCTGGAAAGCTATTCACTTGTCTAGGTCTGTCTCATCTTTTGGCCTTGGATCATTTCTCATTTCCTCAGAGAGGCCTTTCTAAGCACCCTATCTTAACGTAACCCTTATCCAGTTATATCAGCTTCTGGATATTCTTCTTAGAACTTCCTTTAATCTGAGGTTATTTTTATTAGACTGTAAATTCCTTGATTGTAGAGATTTCCTAGAGCTAAGCATAGAAACAAGATTGGGGCTCAGTGTAATGTTAAGTGAATTTATGGGTTGATTGATTTTTATGGTCTAGAAATGGAGCCAATTATTTCATGCAAATTGGAACTTTCTGCAAGTGGGGCTTATATATGTTCCCACTTCAATGCTGTAGGATATTGTGAATTAAGGTTTATAAGATCACACAGTAACCTAGAAGTTACTTCTAATGGAAAATGAATTCAGCCCATATATTGTTGCTGCTCTTTTAAACTAAGCTAGCAGTACCTCACTTGCCAAATCTCTTGTACGTAAGTTTCTCAGTGGTATTAACCATATTGCAAGTTCTCAGGCACACGTGGCTAGTGACTGCTGTATTGTATAATACCACTATGGAACATGGCCATCATTGTAGAAAGTGCTGTTGGACAGAGCCTCTCTGTAGTATCCATCCACTTTGAGTGAACCAAAGAAAATATACATTATCACCTATTTATGTGGCATGAGGAAAACAGTGTTCCATTAACATGTTCGCCATTTTGCAATTTCCAAGTAATAGAATTTTCCAATGTAAATTTGTTCTTCTGACTATCAGAGGTGGATGAAATAAGTAGCTTTGTTTGTACCCCTATACAGTGGCCACAGAGTCCTCTGTTTCAGCTTTGTGTATGGATTTTTAAAAATTCTTCCCCCCCCCCCCCCCCATTTTCTCTCCCTTTTATTTGGGCTCCTAGTGTCACTTCTCACTGCTGTTTGTGTGTCCTACTGTAAGTGCTTCTCCTCTTACCACCCCTACTGCCACCACCACATACAATCTGCTTTTTCTTCCTGTTTTAGTTTATTTGCTGATAAAGTCACTAATTAACCTTCCTAGAATTGGGTCTAAAATAGAGAAGAATGGACTCTCTCTGCTTTAATGTTGCATTTTGTGATCTTTTCTTTTTTTTTAATTAAGAAGTATGTTTCGTTTAATTCTTGGATCTTGGCTATTGGATAATTGACACGTGAATATATTCTAGGAACTAAACCACAAGTTGTATGTATAACTGCTAGAGTTCTTAATTGTTTAATCTTAGTACTGGGTATGAATAACCATTTAAGGAATAAAGTGGTAGGAAAAAGTCTGTTTTTGCTATTATCCAGATCAGTGGTCTTCAAGTTTGGTCTGAGGGCCCACGGGAATCCCTTTCAGTTGTGTATGAGATCAAAACTATCTTTATATTACAGTATTATTTGCCATATTTGTTCTGAGGATGCAGAAGCAATGGTGAGTTAGTCTGCTGCTGCCTTAGCTCGAGTCAAGGCAGTGGTATTCAACTCTACAAGTAGTCATTAACATTTTTCATCGTGATGTGTTCATAGTATCTGTAATGAGGTAGTGTAAATTATTAATTTTAGTAAGTCTTGATCCTTGAATGCATGACTTCTTAATATTGTGTGTGACAAAGTAGAATGTACATATAAGGCACCTCTGCTGCATGCTGGAGTGTGATGGTTTTCTCCAGGAAAACCTCTTAGGCCATTGTTTCTGTTGTGACTGAACTGTCTGCTTTTGTTATGAACACCATTTTCACGTGAACGAACAACTGACAGATTGAACTGTGGTTATCAGACTTGGTATTTTACTGACATTTTTAAAAAAATTATCTAAGTTAGCCTGTCACTTCAAGGAAAAGACCGTATTAGCTTTTGTTGCTCCCTGATAAAGTTAGAGCTTGCAAGTGAAAATTAGAATTTTGATAAACATGTATCTGCTGCTATGAGCTTGACTAATTCCTACTACTAAGAGCTTTTCTGTAGTGATGAGATCTGTTGTGATGTAATAAATGTGCTCTCTTTTATAGCAAATAATGAAATGTATCTTACTTAGAAGATCTATGTAATTCAGTGAACCAGTACTTAAAAGAGCCATTCAAATGATAAGATAGACCAACAGGTTTTAGTGCAACAAATTAGAAAAGGTCACTGGTAGGGTTTACAGATTCCACATTTCAGCCAACCTTTTTAAAAGTAACCACTTGCTGAATTTTGGTGTAGAAATAGAATATCCACACTTGTCTGAAAAGGCTATTAATGTACACCTCCCTTTTTTATGTACTTTTCTTCATATAAAACAACATATTGTAACAGAGTGAATGTAGAGCAGATGTAAGAATGCAGATGTCTTCTGTTAAGCCAGATGTTAGAGACTTGCAAAAATGTAAAATAACACCACTCTTACATTAACATCATAAATTTATTATTGCTTATTTTTAAGTGAATTGATAAGTAGACATAAACATTTTCTTTTTCTTTCTTTTCCTTTTTTTTAAATATATTTTTTATTGATTCCAGCGAGGAAAGGAGAGGGAGAGAGACAGAAACATCAATGATGAGAGAGAACCACGAATCGGCTGCCTCCTGCATGAGCCTACAACCCAGGCATGTGTCCTGACTGGGAATCGAACTGTGATGTCCTGGTTTTATAGGTCGAAGCTCAACCATTGAGTCACAGTGGCTGGTCAACATTTTCTTAATTTGAATTTCTAATACATTAAATACAGGTAAATATAATCAACATCAGCAGTGCTTTTTGGGGTCTTCAGTAATTTTAAGAGTGTAAAGGGAACCTGATAATAGAACATTTGGGAACTGCTCATCTCGGTGTGTTTAACTACAGGCAGATTCACTGAACCACTGACTCCCTGAGTGCTAGAGGGTCTCCAGTGAGCGCTGCTAGTGTTACTGCATGGGAGGAATGGAATGACGTAGCAGTCTGGTAACTTAAGGAATGAGTAAACCAGATATTTTAAACTAGATTGAATTTTCCTTGTTTATAATACAGAGAAATAAGAAACACCAAATAGAGTCTATCTTTTAAAAACTGTGTGTTATCTATTAAGATGTGTTCTATTTTTTCTTCCTTTTGTTTAGAAATGTAAACTTGAATCTTTGTGTCATTAGTCAAGTGGTATACTCTTCCTGACAGTTTTTCAAAGCCTTAGTGCATTTCATAATCTTACTTGACTTCTGGGAATACTAGGATTTTTTTCTTTAATAAGTTAAGCTATGTCAGAAATGTGCTTCCTTTAGCAAAACAAAAAACTCAAAAGTCTTCTCACTACCATCAATCCTGCACAGGGGTATGTATTTACTGTTTTCTTCTTCACAATGATTATTTCTTGAATTAGCCTCTTTTAACCTGCCTTCTTCTTATTAAATGCTATTAAGTTACAAGTCAAGATGTTTAAGAAGGTCAGACCTGTTTTACCTAATATAATATTTATATGATTCAAGCTTCAGAATTAGGATGCATGTCAGACTTCTTTTAGTTAACATGTCCTTTTCCCCTTCCAATTCATGCTTCCTCCTGCAGTTTTGCCTCTCAGTTAATGGAGTTCTGTTCTGGTTACTCCAGCCCCAATCCTTGCACCATTCTGCCTCTCCTCTCACTGTCCAAAATCGAATCCACAGCAACTCTTGTTGGCTCTATGTTCAGGACATACCCAAAATCCCACCACTTCCCAACATCCTCAATGATTACCGTCATCCTTTCTCACCTGGGTTATTGCCATGGCTTTCTAAGCAGATTTTGTCACATCCTCACTTAAAATCCAGTGGTGTTTTTCTCATCTCATTTGGAATAAAACCTAATGGCCTGCAGAGCTCAGTACTGTCTCCTCACCCCGTGCCTCTCTGACCTCATTTACTCTCCCATTGCTCCAAGCCCCAGCCACACTGGCTTCGTTAATTGTCATCCTAGTGTGTATTGTATTTACTTAATTTTTTAATGGTTTGTCTCTCCTGCTAAGAATGTAATCCTCATGACAGCAGATTTTTGTTTGTCGTTTTGCTCTATCCCTAGGGCCTTAAAATAGTTAATGGTGCAGTAAGTGCTCAATAAAATATTGATGAAGAGAATCACTTGATTTAGCTTTCTTATTTTATAAATGAAGACAGTTTTCACAGATAATGACTTTTTAAAAAGGGTTTTTTTTTTTGAGTCATATTTACTAGACCTGGACCTAGGTTTCCTGATTTCTAGTCATTACTTTCCATATACAGCAACAGATGCTTATTGTACAAAAATGTGTGTGTTTGTGTGTGTGTGTGAATGAGTTTAACCAAAACCTAATCTACAGGATAAAAGGAGGCTATTTATACAGAAGTGTAATTATTTAAAAATTATTGTGATGTCAGAAGAGTATGTATACAAAATGGGGAAAACTACAGGTTGGCTTCAGTAGTATGAGCCAGGAATTGTCCTTTCAGTAATATTTAGGAGATGTGTCTTTTCTTTCTAGACATGCACATGATGGTGTCGAGGCCCGAGCAGTGGGTAAAACCAATGGCGGTAGCAGGAGCTAATCAGTACACCTTTCATCTCGAGGCTACTGAGAACCCAGGGGCTTTGATTAAAGACATTCGGGAGAATGGGATGAAGGTGAGAGGTCAGCCATGACAGTAATGTTTTATACTACTCACGCTCAGAGTTGGGAAGATTTGGTGGAAGGCATTTCTTACATTTCTAAGACCAGACTTAGGCAGCTATTCTTCATTGGGAAGCCAGTGTATTAAGTATAACTTGTTTTTTGTATAAGTAAAATAATGTGTAATAATTCTTCTGATTATGACTGCTTTTTTAGAAACATTTACATTTAATAGCCTAGTTGACTTTTTAAATAATTATAGAGTCCGAACAATTTACCCATTTCTTTTATGTATGTATTCTCCTTTTTTGAGAATAGGTATTTCTACTGGGCCTGATATGCCACAGTAATAAATGTAATGTGGAAGTGATTGTTAATGTGATTTAGCACATTTGTCTCTGTCACAGGTTGGTCTTGCCATCAAACCAGGAACTACAGTTGAGTATTTGGCACCGTGGGCTAATCAAATAGATATGGCCTTGGTTATGACAGTGGAACCTGGGTTTGGAGGGCAGAAATTCATGGAAGATATGATGCCAAAGGTAAAAGAAGGATTTGATTCTGGGGTGAAGCTCTTATGAGTGCTCATTCAATAAGTATATATTAAATCACTTGTATATGCCCTATTCTGAAGGTGGAGACATGGAAATGCCTACAGATTACTTAATACATTATGATAAATGCTGTAAAAGATTTAGGTCTGGAAATCAGAAAAGATACTACATTTTAATCTTGAAATTTTCTTCCCAAACCATTATTTCTATAGCCTTTAGAGCAGTGATTCTCAACCTGTGGGTCGCGACCCCTTTGGGGGTCGAACGACCCTTTCACAGGGGTCGCCTAAGACCATCGGAAAACACATATATAATTACATATTGTTTTTGTGATTAATCACTATGCTTTAATTATGTTCAATTTGTAACAATGAAATTGGGGGTCACCACAACATGAGGAACTGTATTAAAGGGTCGCAGCATTAGGAAGGTTGAGAACCACTGCTTTAGAGCTTTGGGGAGTTTTCATTGAATATTGAGGGTTTTGTCTTTTTACCATGAAGTATGTTCTCTGAAAAGCCATGACAAATTTAATGCCGTTTGCCAAAAAGAACAAAGCTTGCTTTTGGGAAACTTAATTTGTTTCAGTATATTAAAAGGGAAGTTTTCCCCAGTCATAGTTTGTATTGTTATGAAGTTACTGTGTGAGACATTTGGAGTCCTATTTTAGTGGGTGATATTGGCTGTTTGAGGTTTTTTGTTTGTTTTTTTTTGGTTGTGTCCCCATCCCCATCATATCTACTTTAGGAGTCACTTATTTCCTTGTGTATATCTAGGTCCACTGGTTGCGGACCCAGTTCCCGTCTTTGGACATAGAGGTCGATGGTGGAGTAGGTCCTGACACTATCCATAAATGTGCAGAGGTGAGACTGTGCCTCAACTGTGACTTAGACCATTTTCCTGTCAGATGTGATGTCCAGGTCATTGTCTTGTGGGCCAAAGAGATTTCCTTTACATTTCCTAAGTTACCTTTCTATCTTGGAAATATTTGTGTGTGGTGTTGTGTGTTTTTTTTTGTTTTTTGTTAATCCTCACCTGAGGATATTTTTCCATTGATTTTTAGAGATAGTGGGAGGGAGAGGGAGAGAAAGAGAGAAATATTTATGTGAGACAGACACATCAATTGGTTGCCTCCTGCTTGCACCCCAACCAGGGCTGGGGAACCTGCAACCAAGGTACATGCCCTTGACTGGAATCAAACCCAGGACCCTTCTGTCCATGGGCCAACGCTCTATCCACTGAGCCAGCTAGGGTGGAAAAGTATTTTTGTTCAAATGTAGAACTCTCTGTATATAAAAGGCTAATATGCTAAGTGTCCAACTGGTTGCTATGACACACACTGACCACCAGGGGTAAGACACTCAGTGCAGGTCTGCCGAGCTACAGTGACTTGGCAGTGGCGGTTCTCGGGTGATGCACCCTGAAACCAGAGAGGAGGGAGCCTGATTCCTCGCGGGGCTGCGCGATTCCACCTTCGGTCGTGGGTTATGTTGTTACTGGGGCACTTTCGGCCTGAATCTGGTTTACTGCACACTTGCATTTGCGTTCCACACCCTGTACGCCAGCAACTTTGCAGAGTGCCCTCCTGCACGCCAGGACCTCTCGGAGGGATGTCAGAGAGCTGGTTTCGGCCTGATCCCCGCAGGCCAGGGACCCCCCTCATTCTGCAGATGCCCTCTGAGTTATATTGCACCCCAGGTTTGGCCGGCCAGGGAGGGACTGCGGGAGGTTGGCTCCAGGGCATGTCCGGCCCTTCTCGCCCCGCCGGCCACCTTCTAATTAATTTCTTTTCAATAGTGCCTGAATCTGTGCACCGGGGCACTAATAGGAAAATAAAGAGCAATAAGTGAATATTCTAAAATCACATGATCATTAAATATTAAGTTTGGTTATCTCAGTAATGTTGAAGAAAGTTCCCTTTTGAAAAAGAATATACTGAATGCCAGACTTTAGAAGATCATTAAGTTCCAGGGCCTTGGAATTAGTCATTTGTCCAAATAGAGAAAGAAAGCATACCTTCTTATAAAGGGAAAAAATTGTTACTCTGTAGAACTTAGGTATTTTTATTACCAATTTGTCTCTTGTAAGAACTGACTAGAGCCATTTTTGTTGAAATTCTGGATCTGATCTCTGGATACCCCTAACCCTCTGTGTTGAGCTGGGATGAGTTCTGAGTAGTTAGCTGAGCTGAGTTAGGACCCTGAGCTTCATTAAGAGGATGCCAGCCCTTCCTATAGCACTGCAGGTGATTGAAGTGGCCTGTTCTTACTAAGCAACCTTGTCTAATCTGCACTTCTAGTTTTTGTATAAATGCCACACTTTTCTGCTTAATACTTGTCAAAAGCTGGGCTGTGATAAGTATGGAAGAGGAGCTGCCCACATGTTCAGTGAGCATATATGCTTTGACTCCCTGTGGAATTCTTTCTGCTAAACTACTCCTTGCCATTATGCTATTCCTGTTTACATTAAAAGATGTATTGTAGCACGTGAAACTTTTTCATTTTTACGAGGAATGTTCTTAGACCTGTAGTAAGTACACTGTATCATAGAGTGACAGCATCTCATTGGGAAAATTTTCTTCAGCTTCAGTGGTTCCCCCTTTCTTTTGGCAATGAATCATGTCATGGATTGGGTTTCCCTTCTCAAGTCAAATCCTAGGAGGCACAGAGCTAAATTTTGATGGGTATTATTTCCTTTCCTTTATTTTTATTTTTATATTTAAGAACACCTTGAGATTCTTTAAGCCACCTTAAAGCCATTCTGGCTACAGTGAAGCCTAAGTGAGACTTTCCATTCCTTCTAGCCTCAAAATGAGAAATTATTGAATGTTGCCGTATTTTATACATAGCTTCACATTTTAGCAACATTGTCCTTTCAGGCTATCCACCAATTCATCTACATAATTCAAAATTAAAAGGTAGTTTTTTTAGTAGCTATGGAGATATTGGTATATATTGGAAAAACTTTAATAGAGTTGAGGATTAAAGATAATTATTAGCAAAGATGCAGTATAGCTTATTTAGAGTTTGTTACTTAAAAAGTCAGTGATTTCTTAGACACGTTTAAAAACCATTTCACAGCCTTATTTGTTAAGCATTTTAACTTTTTTCTTCAATCTGTTCATCTCCAAGTGGCTTTTGTACAGTTTAAGTGCTGACTGACAGATGCAAGGGTAGAAACTCGAGTCCAGGAATTCTGTTTTAGGCTTTTCTGTGTCTTTCTTAGAAGCATAACTAAGTGTTTACTTCTTCCAGGCAGGAGCTAACATGATTGTGTCTGGCAGTGCCATTATGAGGAGTGAAGACCCCAGATCTGTGATCAACCTGTTAAGAAATGTTTGCTCAGAAGCTGCTCAGAAACGTTCTCTTGATCGATGAAAGCAAAAGGAGTCCAGTGTCTCTGCTCATGAAATGCTTTTACTGGAGAACAAGAATATTGACTACCAACTCATATCACAACAGTGCTGCTTTTCTGAGCAATTCATTCCAGTGACTAACATCTGTTGTGCAGAATGTCCCAAGAGGTAGAAATTTAGTGAAGGGATTTAAAGATTAGGGGGGTGAAATGCCATTTTTACTGGGAGACTTGATTTTTATAAAGAGTAAAAATACGGTTGTATTAAGGTTATAAATAGAAATGTGTCTTAATGCCTAAGGAAGGCACATTAGCTACTATGAAAAATGTTTTTCTCCACTTCTAAAATGAAATTTCTATTGTTTCTTGGCTGTTTTCAAAAAGCAAAGTAAGTTCTTATGTCTTTCCTGTTCCTTGTCATTTTTGGTTTGTCTCTATGCGTTATCAGTAGAATAGAAGTTAGGGAAAATCTATGGCTGGGATAGCATACCGTATTCTTCTTGCTTCTAAAACATCTATTTTTTCACTTTGCACCTTATATTTGATATAAGAAAACCATGTCTGAAGCCCAGGAGTTTTGGGTCTATTGTAAAATACATAGATTTTATCAGGTGTTCTGTTAGCTTTGCTGCAAGGGCAGATGATTTATTGATTTCCCCACCATCTCCCCTTAATCACACCGACCGTTTGTAAGGATGTGAGGTAATGTGCTAGTTCTGAGCAGAAAGGAAACAAAAGCCTCTTTTTGGAAGTAAGATTGAATTTACTCTTCCCCTTTCCAAATTTGACTTAGCAAATCAAATCAACCAACATCTTTGAGCTTCTATTAACTGATTTATACACTGAATTTAGTTATAATAACTGTGCAGGGTTGTGTTGAGGATGAAAAAAGATACATATGTAAAGCTTCCACCATTATTCCTAGAACTGGCATAGAATTGAGGATGCTCAGTACAAAGTAGCTATCATTATAAAGTTTATGTTTTGTAGGTTATAAAGTACTTTGCTAATCTCATTAAATCTTTGAATCACTCCTGTGAGTGGGCATTTTTTTTTAAAAATGAAGACACTGAAGCTCAGCAATAGGCTACAAGCACAGAAAGGACTCAGTAGGGCACAGGATTTCTGGTCTGTACTCTTTTTACAACTGGAGGCCTTGGGAGGTGGATTAGGCAAAGGAAGCTTCTTAACATTGTCTTATTTCCAGTCTAACTTGACCCTGTAGCAGAACCAGATTGCTGAGGATATCCCAGAACTATGGATTTTGACCCTAAAGGATATGTATTTTGTTAATCCAAGAAAGACCAGGTAGGCTAAGAGATGGCAAGGTACAGAATCATTCCATAAACTAAATATTTATAATTGTGTCCCAAATCATATTTTGACAACAAATATGTCAGTCACTTAATTATTGCAAATACTCTTGCTATGTAATACATATGGCAAGAAATAACAGGACCAGTGTCATTGAACTTCTTTAGACTACTGTGAATTTTAAGAGAAAAAGTAATTGAAAATAAGAACATGTATGGAATAGAGTTTGCTTGGTTTTATTCTACATTACAAGGTAAAAATGTATTTCTTAACATGTATTTTGGCTTAGGAGGAAAGTTTTGTGCCATGTATAGGTGGCGTTGTATCAAATCAGACAACACAAGACATATAGAAATAACTTTAATTAAAAAACTTACATAGAAGATTATAATAATGAGACATCACAGAAAGATTTGAGTTTACATGCCTGGACAACTTGGGTTTGTCTGGCTTTTGTTTTCTTAAAAAAAATAATAAATGTACAGTAAAACTACAAGCAAAAATTTGTCAGTATTGAATTTTTTTCTTCTTTAAAGGGACTAGCATAATTTCTAGTCCCTAACAAAACAGTGTCGAATCCCCCAAGTCTGGGCCAGCATTGTCAGTTATATGGGTACTACAACTTGAATAACCTTTTTTACATGAGAAAAAAACAATTCATATAAATTGTCCTCAACTTTTATATAGAAAAAAATGATGTAATATTTTCAAAAGGAATTTTCCTTAATGTACACTTCAGTATCCAGTATTGGTAATACTGAAGCATTATCCTTTGGATAGTTTTAATTCCACTCTAGAATACAAGTAAGAATAGATGCTTATTTGAATAGAGTAATAAAGAATGACCAAATTAACTAGAAATACATTAATATTTTTATACTGACAGAACTTTCCTGTGTTGCTTATTTTGAGTTTTAAAGGAGGTAATAGTTTTAAAAACACCAATATTTAACTCTACTTTGCTTGTCCTATTCTGTTAGGGGTGCATAGAAAGTGACTTGTGTTTAGTTCAACAGATATCACTGATTTCAAATAAAATAATGTTGTGTTACCTGGTATAGAAATTTCCATAAATAACTTCTATTACTTAAACATGTTTTTTAAAATCCCTCTTCGTAGCCAAGACTTTCAGGTGTTCACTATCATTGGAAACCTGTGCTGCTTTATTTATACTGCAGCTTATTTCATGGGGTAATTCATACATGTATTTTGGAGTGGTATCTGCCAGTGCATATGTGTGTGTATATATTTATACTCTGTACACACATTTGTATATTCCAGTACCATGTGTATAGAAAAAAGAAGACCTGTCATTTGCTGCACAGGTATGTGTGTGTTTCTATATATGTATGTGTGGGTGTGAAATCTTTTAAAAATACAGCCAGTAATGTGATTTGACACCAAATTGCAGCAGTTAATTTTTTGGTGCTTATGATCTGTATCATAAACACGAATGACTAGCCACTTGTCTGTAAGTGAAAAGCTAGTTAGATACTCCTGTGGTTCAAGAAGGAAAGAGAGACATACCTTGCCTGTTGCATAGAGAGCATAGAAGATTACTATATGCAGTATATGCTCTTACTCTGGAATTGTGACTGGAGGGGCTTATTTTTTCTCCTGTTTTCCATTCAGTTCCATCATTTTTTTTAACCTGTTCCTTGTCACCTATTTTTTTTTAACATGAGTAAGTCCTACAGCATAGGTTTTGTATTCTTCCATTCCGTCTGCCTGCCTTTTGGGATTTTGGCCGTTCTCTGGTGCGCTGGTACAGAAGACTTCACCACTGAAATCGAGGCTTGAACTTTCAATCTGATCATTTTTTTTATCTTGGCATAATAAGGCTTCTGTGTCTTCATCCTTCAGCGGAAAAGCCCGTCGTTCCCACCACAAAGACTGAAAGAGAAAACATGTTCAGTTAAGTTTCAACTAATTTGTTTTGCTTAAAATTAATGTTAATTTTGTAGTAACTATTGTGGTGTTCTTTAGCACATAAATGTACAAATTTTCATTTGAATTTAAGTAACAACTCAAAATGGAACATACTGCGAATTGTTAGGGACCTTGGGGAATTGTTCCCTTTGCCTCTTCCTTGAAGAGGAAACGCTGCCTTGGGGCACTGGTCTTCATTTTCAGCCTAGGGCGCTTTGGGAAAGCCCCTTTGATCTCCTTCTATACTTCACTATCTGCATTGGCATCCCATAATTACAGACAACTTGCCTGTTAATTTCTATAGACTCCATTCTAGATATGGTTCTTCTTTTCCAACACCTACGTATGAATTAAGGTGGGAGAACTTTATGCAGTGTTAGAAAACAGTCTCCTTGAGGTTAGACCTCGATCTGTGGGGATGGGGAGACAAAAGAGAAATAGTGGCTAATGTTCACTCTGTGCTAGGTGCATTCTCTTTACTCAGATTTGTTTTGTAATGAAAGTTTGATAGAATCCCTATTTCCTAACAGATTTATGAGTAGGTGGGATTAGGTATTGATATCCTATATAATAAAAGGCTAATATGCAAATCGATAGAACAGTGGAACGACTGGTCGCTATGACATACACTGACCACCAGGGGGCAAGACACTCAATGCAGGAGCTGCCCCCTGGTGGTCAGTGTGCTCCAACAGGGGAGCGTCGCTCAACCAGAAGCTAGGCTCATGGCTGGTGAGCGCAGTGGCGGGAGCCTCCCCCACATCCGGGTTCCTGGAGCGGGCCTAAGCCGTCAGTCGGACATTCCCTGAGATTTCCTGGAAGCAAGAAGGCGCAGGACACCCCCCTACTTCCCCCCACCCCCAGTGCATGAATTTTATACACGGGGCCTCTAGTGTTCCATAAAAAAGATAAGTGTTTATAGTAACGGAACTAGATTGTTGGAGTACAGATCCTCTTATTTGTAGCCAGCATTCTATACCGGATTATCATACTGAATTTGTTATGGAATGAATGCTTAATTTGCAACCAGCAGTTTTTACAAACAGGTTTTAAAAAGGATAAAAGGCAACTGAAAGGTTCCACTTACCTTGGTTTCCTGGCTTTCATTTACTGAAGGTGAGCCATGTGCACTCAGATCCTGACTCTGCGGACTTTCGGCAGCACCTTGCTGATCACTACTAAAGTCATTAGGGTATTCTTTCAAAAGTAAGTCCTGTCCTTCAACATTTTTACTGTAAGCTCTAGCAAGAAAATTAAGCAAATATTTAATTATTTTTTGAATAAACATGAACAACCCAAGGTGTTACTAAGTCAATTTAACTAGGTAGCTGTTCTTTTAAATATTTCTGTCCCCAAAGTAAAATAAATCCTAATATTTTTAGGACTTATTCCCTCTTCCCTCAAAGTCATGTTCAAAGTATTTTAGACTATTTACTCTTAGACTAGACAGAATTTTATTCTTTTTAGACTTTTTTTTTTAAGAAAACATTCTTTTGAAGTGGTTATATATAGAATACCCAATTCTAATACCTAGTGTTACAGTACATTGAAATAACCTCCTTTATCTGCGAAGAATTATCACATTATTTGCTCAGTTAAATCTATCCCTGAGGCTAACTGTGAGCATTAGACTGGAGTGAAATACAGAAACTCATTTTATCACTATGTATGAGCCCAAATATATTTTGAGTGTAAGCTCAGTATATGCAGTGTTTCCCTTCTAGTGCACAAATAGCTAAGGGCATATGGTATCTTTTCTTTTTAGTGACCTTCCTCATTATTCATACAGAATTTTTGTGGATTCCACATGGATGCTATGGTTTTGGGTTTTAAATGTATAACATCTACCTGCTGTTTCTTCTGTGCCACTTGCTTTGTTCCCATAGTGACCATCTGGCTTGCTCTCTTGCTTCATATTTTTTGTGTCTTAGGGAGAAGACTTCATCAGAAAGATCTTCTATCTGGAATTAGAAATAAAAAGTTTGGCTTTTATCAGAAACATTTTGAAATATACGACCAGGTGTCAATTCCTCATGAGTCAGGAGAACAATAGAAAGTAAACTTTAAAATAAATGTGATCTAAGTCAAGAGAACAAATGTTAGGAGATGAGCTTCAAATTCCTAAAAAGAGAGAGTTAAAAGCATTTTTAAACTTTTTTTTACTATTGGGTCTCATTTGAACACTTATGTAGATTACAAATAGGTTCACAGGGCTTTCGTTTTACATAAAATATTCTCAATACTCTATTTATTCAAAAGTTTGTACTGACTGCACAATATGGAGTATACTGTTCTAGAAACATGTTATTATCACAGAAAAGTAAAACTGATTGAGATAAATGAGAATTAATTTAATAACTTACCTGGAGTTTTAAGACTTTGGTTATAAAGAATATGAGTGTCCTGGCTAGGATCATACTGAACTAGGGAAGAGTTCATGAAAGGTGAGAAGGGCATTAAAAAGTAAATTTTGGTAGTTGAAAAACACGATCTCGGTGGTCATACGAACATTGTTACAGAAACAATGTCTTTTACATAATATACTGTTTCTGTATCACTTTCTAATTTTCTTTGGTTATGTTTTGTAATGTTTTACCCATATAGATCCATAATCCCTTTCCTGCAATTCAAAAAAATCTGAAAAGCAACAAAAAATCCCCAAGTTTTCATAATTCATTTGGTGACACAGACTGATCTCATGGTGTGAAGCTATTCTCCTTCCTTATAAATACTTCATTATAGGAACATTAATATTTGATTGTGAGAACTGTCCTAGACTGCTTGCATGTATTATATGATGTATGCACTACATTATTTTTCTAAAGTCCAAAATTTTCCAAATTCCAACGAATTTGTTCCAAGACTTTGAATATGGTGGGCCTGAATATTAAGATTAAATCTCCTTGTGCAGGAAAATATGACTTAATACAGGAAATGAATGTAGAGATTCACATAAATTCAGTATTTTAACAACTCATGGAGGCAAATGGTATATTTTCTATTTGTATATGAACATTTTATAATCAAAATATCCTTTTTTTTTAGAATGATGATTATTTTTATTTTTTTAAATATATTTTATTGATTTTTTACAGAGAGGAAGGGAGAGGGATCGAGTTAGAAACATCGATCAGCTGCCTCCTGCACACTCCCTACTGGGGATGTGCGCGCAACCAAAGTACATGCCCTTGACCAGAATCGAACCTGGGACCCTTGAGTCCGCAGGCTGACGCTCTATCTACTGAGCCAAACCGGTTAGGGCTATAATCAAAATATCCTTAATGAAGAACTTAGTTTTCATAAATAGAAAGAAAAAAATAAGCCTCAAATTAAACAGACTTCATAATATATAAAGTATAGTTATTCTATCAGTGAAAGGAAACTTACCTCTTCATCTACATTATATTCATCCAAAGGCTGAAGAACAACCATCCTCCAGCTGTAGAAGATACAAATCAATATCAAACAGCTCTATGTCAGTAGTTATCGATAAACTGGCTCAGGGGAAACACACACACACAAAAACACCACCACCCTGATCTGTGGGTATTTGCCAATTCTTTGGGTGAAGACTTCCATCCTGGCTTCCTTTGAGTTTAATAACTGCATCACAAAATTCCTCAATATTAAACAACCAGCTCAACCATCAGTTCTAGCCTATCACATAAATTGAAAATCGTTGCTATAGAACAACATAACCACAAATAATAAACATCTCTTATGTAGAATATATCAAAGTTCTCTGTAGGAATTCTCATCATACCTCAAAATAAGAGAATTACAAATCAGCTGGAATAGAGAAAAGTAGGAATTATGGGAGTTGTCACCAGCTCATGCCCCTGTTTCTATCTCCTTCTGGTGCCAGATTCATATTCTTAAGAAACTGCTTTCATCATTGCTAAAAAAAAAAAATTGGTCTCACTTGGCTGTCAGTCGGAAGCAGGTCTGTATTGCATTCAAGGACCTCCACAATCTGGTTCTAAGTTCTTTTCTAACATTAATTCCCTTTATGGCCTACACAAAGCCTCAGTCTTCTGGCTGAGCCTTGCACAGGTGTCCGTATGCCTTTGTTGGTGTCTCCCTATGTGAATAGGTCCACCTCCTCCATGATGTCTTCCCAGCCATCTTTCTGTTTAATATGTTTATTGCTGACTTGGCACTACATCAACATCTTAGTTTTATTGTCACAGGTGTTACTGTCTTACAGTGTGAATACCCCATGCAAAGGTTACTTGCTTCTTTGAACTCATTTTGCAACCCTGTGTAAACCTCCATTTTAAAGAGCAATTATTAAAGTATAATTATTTACATTCCTAAAGTACCTTTTAGTGCCATATACATAATAGATAACTAAATACTGAATGGGGGAAAAAAAGAGTTTCACAGTAAATAAGTCTTAGGAATTCCCAATTCTTAATAGAAACTGAGAAGTAAACTTGTGATACCACATGGCACTTTTTTTCAGCATAAGTAATGTAAAATTTTCTCCATTTTCCCTCTATGGTTATACAAGTGGGAGGAAGGGGGAAAGCAGCATCTTCCTTTTATTATATTTTAACTTCACTCTGAAAATTTAACTATTCAAGAAAAGGAAAGAAGAAATAAAATAAAAGGATGTAAGTATTACATACCTTGGAGTTAGTATTTCCTTATATTGGAGTTTCTCTAACTTAGCTGGGGCCACTAATGACATGGGAATCACAATATTATCTATGTCATAAGAACTCTCACTTCTCAGTCTCCGTCGTGCAGTATTCTGCAGCAAAATAGGATTACAGTAGTTTTACAGCAGTATATACCGGTATATTAAGTTTTATAAATACATCATTAAAAATCTGACTATAAAATGTTGACAAGGCAAGAAAACATACTTGTCTTATATAACCCAGACAATCTTTATATTTTTTGGCAGGTATGCAGTATACATTTGTGTGTGCACATATCACAAACCTATGTTTATGACCATAACAATTAGAAATACCCTAAAATGCAGAACTCTTATTGTGAAAGATTACCATGAAGCACCTTAAATGTCAATGAAATGGTCACTTTACAAACTTTTAGAGGAAGGGAGAGGGAGGGAGAGATATAAACATCAATAATGAGAATCATCAATTGTGATTGGCTGCTTCCTGCACTCCCTCCACTGGGGATTGAGCCCTGAAAGCCCAGCATGTGCCCTGACCAGGAATCTAACCATGATCTCCTGGTTCATAGTTCAGTGCTCAACCACTGAGCGACACAGGCCGGGCAACAAACTCACTTTTTATTGTGAAAGACTGGAATATGAAATATTTCTATGAAATACTTGGTGAGTCATTTAGTAAAGATCATTATTACAATCTTCATTTATGTATTCCTTGTCCCCAAGTTTAGCACTCTTTCTAAACCAATCCCCCCTTTTTGATTAAAAAAAAGGTTTTTATTGATTTTAGAGAGAAATATCCATCGGTTGCCTCCTACACACCCTTTACTGGGGATTAAGCCCGCAACCCACGCATGCGTCCTAACTGGCCACCTCTGGGTGCATGGGCTGAACCAACTGAGCCACACCAGCCAGGACCCTAAACCCACCTTTTGACTTGCACTCTGATCAGATAAACAGCAAATTAACATACGTGCTGGATTCTTACTAGTAAGATTATATTGATCTTCATGTTAAGGAGTAGAGATGCTTATGATAAAGTTTGTTTCTAACAAAAGCCATAACCAAGGATTAATGAACAATTGGTTCCCTACTAAAAAAGTTTAATCATATTTATTGTTTCCTGATAATATAGTTCTAAATATGCGCTAGTAAATAAGGCCATTAATAAATATTTTTCTTCAAATCAGCCAGTTTTAAAATTCTATAAAGCAGTTTTAGAGTTCAGTGTACAAAAAACCTACATGTGTTGAATTTTGGGTTCTTGATATAACGTTGACATTAGCAACAGCAGTAAAATTACTGTGGGATCCTGGTTCTGCGTGTTGAAAAGCAAATTCTTCAAATTGAGTTCTTTCTCCTGCCGTGGGAAAAAATCATTGAGAATGATTAAAACATTAACGTGACTTATATTCCTAGTCAGGTAACATTGTAATTTCTTTTCTGTTTATTGGTTTTCTTTTTATTATTTTTTAAAATCCTATAGAAAACAAAAAAAGAATGGAAAAAATTTTACCCACAATTCTAATATTTTCATTTTCTGCCACAGTCCTGATTATTTTCATTTGCTGGGGTAATGACAGTTTTATACATTTTTTTACTTTTTGGAAGATTTCCTTATCTTGATCTTCTGACCATTAATTTTTGAAAAGAGTTCTGTGTTCAAAATACTAATTTGTAAAAGTTCTTTTTCTCTTTTTTTTTATAGCATCCAGTTTTTATTTTATGAAATTTTTCTTAGGATAAATTTACTTCTTTTTTTTTGTATTTTCTGTGTCTCACAATCCTGTTTCCCATTTGTTTTGGTTCCCTTTATTTTACTTTAGTATGGATCTCAAAAAATATTTTCCTATGTAATGTAAAATCTGATACCCAGTCCATATGTACATTTTCCCACTTGTTAAAAAATGTCCTTTATGTAGTTTCTTCAAATCACTATCCACATTGAAATTAGTACTAAAGACTCAAGACCAGGTGTCCTGCACTTTAACAGAGTTATCTACTTCTTAGTAATATTACATTATACTTCTTATATCCCTGTGTTTCCATCAATCCAAGTGAAACATTTTATATCTGGTAATTTGTATTTTATAATATATCTTATTACGAGATAAAAATTTTCCTGTGTTTAAGTACACATGTCTGAACATACCTCAAAGGCTAAGTTATTTGGTCATCTTAAGATCGAGGCACTAAAAAACATGATGAAATCTCTGGTCAAGGATGAGTTTAATTTTGTGCTACACTAGATCAGGTAGTGATTGTCATGTAGTGACTTGGCCCATTTTGGTGGGATTTCTAGAGACAGTGAAGAATGTGCTAAATCCTTCATGTTTAATTAAAATCCAGTACATCTTGGATATAATTTGTTTCTAATTTATTGGTCATACTGACATTACATCTGGGGAATACGAATGTATATACAGGTGAGGCAAAAGGTTTACATTCTTCATACGGAAAATAATTCAAGGATAAACTTTCACATACAACTGTAACCCTACTTATGCCTCACCCTGTGGTGGTATATCCACTGAAACAGTGAACAAAACCTGAAAGTATATAATTTGCTAGTATATATCTTTGCAGTTAACTTTTACTTTTTATCATTAATTTGCAATAGCTGTGGGCACTATCTTATCTAAAATCCCCACCATAAACCTCACTTTATATTTACTAGAAGGATCCTACTTTTATGATATTCCTATGGTCATCTTGGAATTAATTATAAGTTACTAGAGGGAATTAAACTAGGTGGTTGAGTTACCTTAAATGAATTTCATCTAATTTCTCAAAATTTTGGGGAAGCTTCAGTGAATTGACACCACAGTAGGTACCAGAAATGGTGATAAATTTCTATGTCAGCCTTTTACTGGCATAATTTTAATCCAGAACACAACTGAGACTAAGTCATGTCCAGAATGATAGTTAATAGATAGCTCTAGACAGGGAAGGAAAGAAATCCTTACTTGGCTATAAAGTGGATGGATGCACAGTCCACAATTTTTAGTTGATACATTAATGTGCTGTTTAACGTTCATAGGACCATGGATGTTTTATATAATTCATGGCTACTGGATTATAAACTCCCATGAAGCAGGGGTTTTTTGGAGATCAGAATTTATTTTCAGTTTTTAGTACTAACCTCATTTTAACCTACCTAATGCTGTTTCACTCAAGTGTCTTTTCTTTCTCCCCTGTAACAGCTGTGCAGAAGATTCTGATCTTATTTGAGGCTTGCATGTAGGAGAATATCCATTTCTCCATTGACTCAGAGAAGAATTATATACTAAAACAAATAGAAAGAAAATGTGCAATTTTAGTTCCTTAACACAGACAATGAACATGTTAGTGTTTCTACTTATGACATTGCAGAATATTAATATACCGATTAAATTTGCATATAATAAATACTTAGATACCAAGATATAATACTCATAAACTGAAAATACTAAATATGATTCCTCAACATCTTCAGGAATTATCCAATTTCTTATAGTTGCTCCATTATTTGAAGGGGATAAAAATGAAAGTGATCTGTTAGCAAAGTCTTCTAAAGTACAAAATGTTATAGAGAAGATTGGTTCAATCTGTAAATATTGGTTAAATATAAACTCTATTTTTAAGTTTCTGCTTACCCTTAAATCTGGAAATAATTCAGGACTAAGTAAGATTTTACAGAATCACAATAGCCTGGGACCTCTTAAGAACATGAATAGATTTCATCAACCTTACAGTGCCTACCATCATTCTTTTCACTTTTTTAAAAGTGATGCATTTTCTAAATCTTTAAGTCAGTATCTCTGTGCCTCGGCTGCCTTATCTGTCAAATAGGGATACTACGCATTAGAGGAATATCTGACATGATACGTATTGAGTAAATGTTAACTTCTTCAAGATTATTGTCTGTCTGAACGCCATATTTCCAGTACTAGATTGATCAAATTGGTTGCTTTTCTTGAAGGATTTGGAAATGTGTAAATAAATAAAAAAAGGAGTATGTGGGCTAAAGTACCAAATTCTCATCAACATTGAAAAAAAGCATGGCCTATCAACAGTAATGGACTTCAAGATGGCAAAGCACTCTAAAAATGCAGTCAATCATCTCTGAGATGCAAATTGAAACAATCAACTTACACCTGTCAGAATGGCTATCAACAAACGTCAAGTGCTGGCAAGGATGTGGAGAAAAGAGAACCCTAGTACATTGCTGGTGGGCAAAACAGTACGGAATTTACTCAAAAAATTAAATATGGAACTCCCATTTGACCCAGTGATCCCCTTTCTAGAAATATATCCTAAGAGACCTGAAACACCAATCAGAAAGAATATATGCATCCCTATGTTCGTGGCACAATTTACAATAGCTAAGATTTGGAAACAGCCCAAGTGCCCATCAGCAGGTGAGTGGATAAAGAAAAAAAGAAAAATTGGTAACGTTTATTACACAATGGAATCCTATGCAGGGGTAAAGTTACATTTAACATTTGCAACAGCATGGATGGACCTGGAGAGTATTATGCTAAGAGAAATCTCACGTGGAATCTCATGAACAAAATAAACTGATGAACAAAATAGATTCAGAGACATAGAACCATGAACAGACCAATGAATTTCATAGGAAAGATGGGGGTGAAGGGGGAGATATTAACTGGGGTACTTTTCCTATATGCATACAAAGGCTTGGGAGGAGTGTGTATGGAGAGGAGGGAATCAATGAGGGGGGGGGGCAGACATCTGTAATACTCTCAAGAAATTTTCTAAAAACAAAAATGATAGACAAAGTTTTTATAGATATGCACATATATATCCATACTAGCAAGCAAAAGGGAATGTGTCTGCAGAATTTGTGAGAAATCTCTGAAGGGCTAATACCACATGAAATTTTACTGAAGAGCAAACTCCTTACAAAAGCACATGCAAAGTATTACTACAAAAATGTGGTCAACATCAAAGGTGTTCTAGACCTGTAGGAAAGGGAAACAGCAGGACAATTATCTGGAGCAACTAATATGATCTCAACACCTCAGCAAGGCTGATGAGAGATTATTTTACTAGATAAAATCTGAGAGCCTTGAGCAGAGAAATGGATAGATAAGGCAATGTCTATGTTACCCACTTTAAAACTGCCCATCTTTGCCTCTGAAAAATTGTATAGAGCACTAATTTCTACCCTTTCCACAAAAAGCACTGCATAAATAGGCAGAACAGTCTTAATGGTGATAGCCAATTTAAGAATGAGAACACAAGACCAACAGTCTGAATACCAACACAATATAAAGGCACAAACAACAAATGGAAGAACTATCTTGACTAGTTTACAGAGTATAGATTAACAAGTCTTCAAAATTCTAGCATTGCCCAAAGAAACGGGTAGAAAGCCTCTAGAGAGACCTTAGAAATGGAAAATAAAACTTTCAAATTTTAAAAAAATCACTAATTGGGCTGAAGAACAGAATAGACACAGCTGAAAATCAAAGTCAGTAGGTTGGAAGAGGAATTCCACAACTCGAATATGGTGATGGAAAATAAGAGAAACCAAGATGGGATAACAGGACAAAAAGAATGAATGGGGAGCTATATTTGAAGACATGGTAACCAAAAAATTATCCACAATCAATTATATTAACCCTGGATTGCAAGAAATTGAGTGTCAAATCAAATGGGAAAAACACACGCCCATAAATCATATAGCACATCACAGTGAAGATACCCTAAAAGTTACCAGAAAAGGAATACGATTTCTGCAAAGAAATGAGGATCAGATGGACATAAAGCAAAACTAGATGCACAAAAACTGACTTTAAAGAGTTCAGGGAAAATGTTAAAATTCCTAGATGACCTCCAATATCCCTCTTTTTTTAAAAAAAATGGGGCAGGATAGGTATTTATTATGGGAGAAAACAGGTACCAACAGGCAGCAGGACAGGGGGCATTGTGATAAGTGTGGGAGGCAGAGCCTGGGAGTAAGGAGCCATCTTCTGGATCAGGAGATCACATGGACACTAGGCCACAGGAAACCATAGAAAACAAAGAAATATCCACCACAGGTAGAACACATTTGCTTAATAAGGAGTGAAGGGATTACAAAGTCAAAGTTAAACAACTTTGACCAGCTGGAAAGTTAAACTTCTGAACAATAAAAACAATGGAAACACCAGACTAGCCAGTGTCTGTGTACCACCACAGGCCCAAGACCTACCAGCTGTGTGTGAGCCACCAGGTATGTGGGCACATATGCACTTTCAAGGGGGATATACGGGGGAAGCCAATATACTGAGTGCTTAAGCTCACCAGGAAACAAACATACACCAAGATGCGTGGGCATTAAAAACAGAGCCAGGATGTCATATAGGTAAGGTTGCCTCCAAGATTTCTTGCCACCCAAAAAAAAGAAGGCAGAGGAAGATGTTAAATAGAAAACTAAACTGTTAGGCATAATTCTAAACCATTTCTAAAAAGGTTTAAGTACAATTGTGAAAGTTAGGTTTTAAAATGCATATGTACCTGGCATGTCTAGGAATTCCAATAGTGCCAACTCTTGTTTTAATATAAATACTTTTGGAGTATTTTAAAACAAATTCCAGACAATTCACCTCTTTTTTTCTAAAAGCAGTTCACCCTCCTTGTTTTCTAAAAGCACATCAAACATTTTGAAGAAAACTTATCTTCACCAACATGATGCTTTTTAAAGTTTTCTTTACATTTACCATTTTAGCGTCTTGTAAGGTTGCAATGAACTCTTGAAACAGTAGGCAATACATGACAATTCAGAGCCTAACTACATCTGTTCTATTTATAATAACCATCCCAGCCTTTGGGTTCTTGCTCTCCCAAATCCTCTCCTACTAGATTCCATCCTAAAACACAACTTGACCCAGTATCTCCTATATCCTGCCTTCCCTTTTCATTTATTCAGTCAATAACTTCATAGAGATCCAATTACATGCCAGACTGTGTTATGCTCTGAGAACACAATGGTGAGCAAAAACCAGCATGGTCCCTGCCCATGATGTAGTTTATAGGCATTATCTCCAAAACTGCAATTGGGAGATGGTAATATTGAGAGAAGTTAAGAGTAAAGAGAACTCTAGGAAAGGCTTCCTGAGATAAAGTGATATATTTCAAATATGAACACAAATAGCTGATGGCAAGGGGAAGAAAGAATGGTATGTGTGAAGGCAAAAAGGAGTAGGACAATTTGGCAAGAACAATAGCAGTAGTGTAGAGTAAGGAAGCATGATGAAAATGAACTAAGAACAAGGAGCCAGTCTATGTAGGTAGGGCTTCTCTATTAAGAATATTCCATCCAACGGCATGGATGGAGCTGGAGAGCATTATGCTAAGTGAAATAAGCCAGTCAATGAAGGAAAAATACCACATGATCTCACACATTCATGGATAATAGAGACCATTATAAACTTTTGAACAATAATAGGTACAGAGGCAGAGCTGCCTCAAACAGATTGTCAAACTGCAGCGGGAAGGTTGGGGGGGCAGGAGGGAGGGGGGTAAGAGGTCAACCGAAGGACTTGTATGCATGCATATAAGCATAACCAATGGACATAGACACTGGGGGGTAGGGGAGGCCAGGGGATTGTCAAGGGCGGGGGAAAAAAGGACACATATGTAATACCCTTTGTAATACTTTAAGCAATAAAAATTTTTTAAAAAAAGACACTGCACAAAAAAAAAAAAAAGAATATTCCATCAAATATTTGAAGGGAATGGAGTTGGAGAGAGCAGGTGTGACATTAGGTTTGCATTCTGAAAAGATCACAGTACAGAAATTGGAAGGAAATAAAAAATCAAATAGGCTTTTTTCAGTGGTATAGACGAGTTATTAAGTTGGACTGCGAGAGTGGTAGAGATGAAGAGTAGCAGATTTGAAACAGATCTGTAAGATTGCACTGAAAATAGGTTTAGATATGGGAATGTGGTGGGTAGGAAGGCTGAGCCCTAGGTTTCTGGCTTGTGTGGTTGTGCCATTGTTCCTCTCATCTGTCCACTCAGAAAGTAACAAACTTTAATTTGACATAATTTCAGATTCACAGAAAACTTGGCAATAGTACAAAGAAGTCCAATATTCCCTTTACTGAGATTCCCCAAAATGTTAACATTTATCACATTTGCTTTATCTTCCTGAACTCCAATGAAATTAAGTTGCTGACAGGATGACCCTATATGTCCAAATGTATTTTCCAAAAACAGGCATTCTCTTACATAGTCACACTGATCAAAGTCAAGAAATTAATACTGTTAGTTAACTATAAACCATATCCAGATTTC